TGAAATTTCTTTTTTTTTTTGGTACTGGGCATTGAACCCAGGGGTGCTTAACCACTGAGCCACATCCCCTAAATAATAGGTATATTATTTAGAGACAGGGTTTTGCTAAGTAGTTTAGGGCCTTGCTAAGTTGCTGAACTTGTGATCCTCCTGCCACAGCCTCCTGAGCTGCTGGGATTATAGGTGTGCACCATCACTCCCGGCTGACATGAAGTTTTTTGACTCAGTCTTTGGCCCACATCACAACGGGTTTTGTGGATTCCCCCTATTGAAAGAGAACAAGAGAAAGAGGGAGATGGATTTTTTTAGCAACATCATAATAATGTATTTTTGGAGGTAGATTTAGGTATACTCCAACCAGAAGGCAGAAAAATAGAATAAATTAATTGTATATTGTTTGAGTAAATATTTATGTATAGATATAGATATGTGAGTATGGATTTGGTCAACTTGTTATTAAATTCAATTTATAGAACTTGTTATTAAATTCTTATAAGTAATAAAACTTATAGAATAAACCTTTCTAGTAAATTTATTTCTGTATGATCTCTTGAGTTTTTCCAATTATAAAAGTAAAAGCTCATAGAAAAATTACATACTGGAGAAAAATTGAAGAAAAGTAGAATCACCCTTACTCCTAACACCCAGAGATAACTATTATCAACATTTTTAAAATTCCACCTAATCTTTATTTCTGTGTCTATTTAGATCTATGGTGGGTATTTAATTATTTTTTTAATAAAATTAAGTTTATAAATTGTGAATGTTTTCCCATAATTAATATTCTTAAATGACCTCCTATTGTGTGCTAGAAGTAGTTTACATTTGGCTTTCAGTTTAGTAAACAGGTTAATCACTTCAAAGACACCTTGTAACTGAAGTTATCCCACAGAACAGCAGCATTTCAGGACTTGTGGTTTAGGTTAATCTATAATGTGTTTCTCGGAAATGTGAGTGAATTTCCTCTTAGGTTTTTTTGTTTTTTTTCTCTCTTTGTTTAACCCTTTTCTTTGTTAGTTCAAAGAATCTCAGTGTATTAAGGAAAAAATAGAACTCTCACAAGTCACCTTCTTTTTCCAGAGTTAGGAAGTAATATGGTAATACCACAGGCAAAAATGGCTTCAGTCCTGAACTCTCCTTTGTGGAAACCTGTCTTCAGGCATCAGATTTGTCCAGAGTTGGAATTAGAAGCAAGCTGGCCCACTCACCCACACCAGGATAGGAAGGAGGTATTTACTCTTCTGTCATCTTTACATCTGGGTGGAAACTGTTTACTAATGTCTTATCACCCCATTAAACTGTTAGTGCCTTGAGGCAGAAACTGTTCCTTGTTATTTGTTATCCCACTGTGTACCCCAGGGACCAGTCAGCAATGGGTGTTCAAAAATAAGGAATGACTCCAGTGAAATATAGTAGGTATTCAGTAAATCTTTCTTGATGGCATTATCAATCAAACAAGTGGAGTCTGTTTCTAGTGCCTACTGAGTCACACTTAAGAGTAAATGGTTTTTGCTATTCCTTTTGTTCTCCATACAGCTGTAGCACTTTATTTAACTGTTCATAATATTTTAAAAACTAAAAAATTTGCCCTCTGTTTCTACTTTCCATCTCTCCTTCCCTTTTTCTATTATTTCTCCTTCCTTCCTTCTTTCCCTCCCTTTCTTTCCCCTGCAAGTTATTCCATGGTCAATTGCCAAAGTCAGTAGCTCTTTCTCCATTTCTACTCTCCTTTATCTCCCTGTTAAATCAAACTCCTTCAGACCCTCTCTTTTTTTGATTCCATGATAGTCCACTGTCTTCTCTACATCCAACTCTCTGTGTGCCTCCTCCGTTGGCCTTTCTCATTCCTTCTTCTCTATAAGGTAGGCTATATTCAGGCTTCCTCCCCTTTTCTACCATCCACCAAAACTTTATTCTCTCTTTTCTCTTTAACTGTCCCATCTGTGGGAATAATTCCTTAATATCAGTTTCCAGCCCTCTTTTTTCTCCCAGACTCCAGTATCTTCTCCATATCTTCATCTTCCTGTTAGGCGTTTTCATTTTAATGTCCTGACTCCCATTAACTCTGAAGTAAAAAAACAGAATGTCTCCTTTACTAACTGCTCACTTCTGTTGTAGTCATTGTTTGCCCAGGCCCAGAGCCACTGCTCCCTCACATCCCCTTCATCCCTGCCCTGCTCTTGCCTTTCCTATCAGTCAGTTGCAAGCCCTGTAGATTCTTCCTTATGGTGTTCATCTCTGTCCTTTCCTCTGTCTCCATTTTTATCCAGGCCCTCATCACACCTGCATTATTACATTGGTACCTGCCAAGTTTTTTTTTTTTTTTTTTTTTTTTTTTAAATCACTGCATTATCTTGTCATTCCACTGCCAAGCACCATTAATGGCTCCCCGTTGCCCACAGGGTGAAGTCTAAACTCCTCAGTGTGACAGTCAAGGCTCTCTACAGTCTCCTTTCACCTTAACTATCTGACTCTAGTTCCCACCACTCCCCAGCTGAGACTTCAGGCCAGGTCAGTCTCCCCACTGACTCTTAACCTCTGCTAGTGGTTATATCCCTCAAGGCCAAGCCTTCCCATCCTTCAGGGTTCAGCCCTAATCCCAAGTCCTTCAGAGGCTTTCTTAATTACTTTAACCTGCCAGGAACTCCTTCCTTTGAGTTCTCAGCACTGGGTGTCCCCTTTAGGCATTTGGCACTGGATAATCTTTTGCTTTATGGTAGTGTTAGTTTTAATGCATTTAAGTTTTATTTTTATTTGCCTTTATTAACCCATATACATCTGTCTGGTCTCCCTAAAATAGATTTAAACTTCCTGAGAGTATGCACCATTTGTTTATACTTCTGCTTTATCTTAGTAGGTGCTCAGTAAATTTTACTTTTTGATGAATATTTCAAATGTGATTTTTTTTTTCTTGTTCCTAGGTTAAGAGCATTCCTGATGATCCCTGCCGCCATTTTCTCCTTGATTTTGCCCAGTCAGAGCCTGCTCAGAACTTCTGTGGGCCATATTCAGAACTTTTCAAAGGATTCATACAGGCATGTAGAAAACAGGCCCCAAAGACAGATATAGTTGCTGGTTCCACTATTGATCAAGCTGTGAACGCCACCTTTGCTGCTCTGGTGTATCGCACTCCAGACTTATATGAGAAGCTGCAAAAATATGGTAACTTATATTACAGGGAATATGTTTGATCTGAAGGCTAATTGCTAAGTTATAAGAAGCCTATCTTAAGGGAAAATTTAGAAATTCTAAAATGTTAACACATATCTACAACTGTAAACTTCATCTTGTTCTACTTTGTCAATCAAAAGATTCATGGCCAATTTATAGTTAGCAGATAGTTATGTTTGGCAAGTAGCCTTGAGTTTCTGAATTAGCAGATACTTTGTCTTTTTCCAGAATTCTCATGGAAAACTTCCAAGAAATTTAATAGAAAGAAACCTTAATGGTGTCGGTTCTGAAACTCAGAAGCTGCACTGCTCAGGTTAATTAGACAACCTTCCTGCACCTCTGTTTCCTCATCTGTAAAATTGGTTTAGAATTCCTTAGCTCCAACATTCTAGAAATTCCAATTAAAGCCACAGGTATTTAAGTTATTGACTGTGCTAATAACATGCTTGTAGAAGGAGGCAAATGAAGGTACTAACTCTTTCTCTAGACTTGCAGCTTCTCTGTGGCATGATCCCACCAGGCTGCCTCTGGTGGGATCTCTGTGGACAGCCTTCCCTTCACCATTTCTCTTCCTCACTTCCCTCAGGGCACCATCTCTGTGTGTTGTTCATATGTGCAGCTTACATCCTAACAGGATCCACACAGAAGATCTCTACTCTCTCTACATTCACACTTTTTCAGGGAAAAGCATTGCAAATCCTATGTAAAGATAAGGCTTACGGCTGGGGTTGTGGCTCAGCGGTAGAGCACTTGCCTAGCATGTGCAATGCCCTGGGTTTGATCCCCAGCACCACATAGAAATAAATAAATAAATAAAAGGTATTGTGTCCAACTACAACTAAAAATTAAATATTAAAAAAAAAAAAAAGATAAGGCTTAGGCTTTTCCAAGGTGCTTGGCAAGGTATGTGTTCTTTCTAATGCAGATGAAATAAGTGAGAATAGATGCTTCCTTCCTTTAGAGTAGGTGATTGATTATTGCTCATGTTACTATAATTGATATTATCCCTGCAACATGTATTGCTTAGTTCTTTAGCTCTCACATTGCACTTTATTCCTGATTGAGAAACTATCTCAATTACTTCTCAAATCTTAACATCTCCTTTAAAAAAGCCCACCACCTAAATAAAACTACATTGAAATGTGAGTAATGTATGGAAACAAATATCATATGGGAGAGTGTATCTTCACTAAGGAATGGGGAGAGGGACAAGGGAACCTGCATGGTTTTGAAGGAAAAAAGAAAACAATATATATTTTTGTGATCAAATGACAGTAAGAAAGCTGGACACTCCTTGTTACTTGAGGGACTTTTCAATAAATGTATAAAGGCCTGTGGGTTAAAAGCTGAGAAACAGAATGTTTCCTACTAGGGGGAAGTCAAACCATGTTCCATTCCACATATGTGTTTGTAGGAGAGAAACACACAATCAAATGTGGGAACTAGAAATAGCTGGCTGTATGTGGCTTGTTTCTAATCTGTCCTTGTTGAATGTGGCCCATTCAGTTCTTTGTGCATCTGCCTTTATGCTATAGATATCATAATAAAGACTATTCGTGAGTTCTTTAAAACTGAGCTACATTGAGAATGCTTTTTGTCTAAAAATTGGGTTAGAAATGTAAGAGAGGAGTTTTTCAACTTGAACATACACTGCATGAGGTCAGTGACCATGTCTTTTTCTCAGCATTGTATTCACAGTGCCTAATGTAGAACCCAGCACATGCTAGGGCTTCATAAAATGTTTATTGTATTGAACATGAATGCAACAGAAAGCTTCATACTGTTTTATTGTATTGTATTTTGCTTTATGAGAGGGACAGGCCTCTTAGGTCTTGAAAAAATTTTTTTTTTCAAATTATAAAAAAAATACTCATGTAGAGACTGAAAAAGTCTAGAAACGTTTAAAATAATTATGAACTTGTTGTACACAGTGCCACACACCTGTAATCCTAGTGACTTAGGAGGGTACGGCAAAAGGATCGCAAATTCAAAGCCAGCTTCAGCAACTTAGTGAGACTCGATCTGAAAATAAACCATAAGAGGACTAGGGATGAATCTCCTTGTTAGAGTACCCCTGGGTTCAATCTCCAGGTTCAATTTCTACTTCTGAAAAAAAAAAAAAAAATTATGAACTACAATCTCACTATTTAGAAAACACCTCTATTAACTTTTTTCTATATATTAAACTGAAACTGACCTTTTATCTAGGTGTTTTATGTTTGTATATGTCCATCCATGTTATTGATTGATTGATATCTCAATAATAATTTTAAAAATTAAATTATTTTATTATTATTATTATTATTATTATTATTTTTAGTTGTAGATGGATACAATACCTTTATATATTTACTCACTTATTTTTATGTGGTGATCAGGAGCAAACCCAGTGCCTCACACATGCTAGGCAAGTGTTCTATCACTGAACCACAACCCCAGCCCAGTAATTATTTTTTTACTCAGTTTTTGTTTTGTTTTTATTTTTGAGACAGTGTCTCACTGTTGCCTGGCCTAGTTTGGAACTCACTGGCTCAAGTGATCTTCCTCATGAATAGCTGGGACTACAGGTTTACACTATTATGACTGGCTTTCCTCAGTTTTAATTTTTAATGTTTTAGGATTGAACCCAGTACTTTTTTTTTTTTTTTTTTTAGTTCTGCCATATTTTATTTTTTTTTAATTTTTTTTTTAAATTTTTTATTGTTGGTTGTTCAAAACATTACAAATTTCTTGACATATCATATTCCACACTTTGATTCAAGTGGGTTATGAACTCCCACCTTCACCCCATACACTGATTGCAGAATCACATCAGTTACACATCCATTGATTTACATATTGCCATACTAGTGTCTGTTGTGCTCCGCTGCCTTTCCCATCCTCCACCATCCCCCCTCCCCACCTCTCCCCTCCCCTCCCCTCCTCTCTCTCTACCCCCTCCACTGTATAACCCTGAGGGTCTCCTTCCATGTCCATGCAATTTCCCTTCTCTCTCCCTTTCCCTCCCACCTCTCATCCCTGTTAAATGTTAATCTTCTTCTCCTGCTCTTCATCCCTACTCTGATCTTAGTTACTCTCCTTATATCAAAGAAGACATTTGGCATTTGTTTTTTAGGGATTGGCTAGCTTCACTTAGCATAATCTGCTCTAATGCCATCCATTTCCCTGCAAATTCTATGATTTTGTCATTTTTTAATGCAGAGTAATACTCCATTGTGTATAAATGCCACATTTTTTTTATCCATTCGTCTATTGAAGGGCATCTAGGTTGGTTCCACAGTCTTGCTATTGTGAATTGTGCTGCTATGAACATCGATGTAGCAGTGTCCCTGTAGCATGCTCTTTTTAGGTCTTTAGGGAATAGACCAAGAAGGGGAATAGCTGGGTCAAATGGTGGCTCCATTCCCAGCTTTCCAAGAAATCTCCATACTGCTTTCCAAATTGGCTGCACCAATCTGCAGTCCCACCAGCAATGTACAAGTGTACCCTTTTCCCCACATCCTCGCCAGCACTTGTTGTTGTTTGACTTCATAATGGCTGCCAATCTTACTGGAGTGAGATTGAACCCAGTACTTTGCACATGATAAGCAAGCATTCCACCACCGAGTTACTCCCCTGACCTGATATTTTAAAGATTTTACTTTAGGTATTTTTTTATATTTTATTCACTTTGAGTAGTATTTCTATTTCAAAAATTATTAGTTTGTACAAAGTTAGTTTGAAATAACACAGAGAACCCATCCAAGTATTTGTGGCTTAATCGATGATTTTTCCCCTCAAGTCTCTCTTACCACCCCTAATGCATGAGTGTCAGGAGGATTTCTTCTGTATTTTAAAAGGTTCAGAAAATATTTTGTGTTTAAAGCTACAGTAGTGAATTGAGTAAACTGAATGTAATCACTTTGTCTCTCTTCCTTCCCTAGTAAACAGCCAGGGCAAGGTAGCCCTGAGTGAAGAGTTTGCACAGGTGTATTCTTTGGCGGATGGGATTCGAATATGGATGGTAAGATTTTCCTTCCCATGAGATTTTGATATATTTTAGGTTTTCCTACCATGATATCATGGCAATAAGTAAGTAGGCCTTTTCTCAAGAATATAATTTGAGGAATATTTTTAAACTAAAGTTCGGCTATATGAATATAAATAAAATAATTTAGAACCCTTGAAATCATAATATATGGGGCAGGATATTGGCCAAATTATATTGTTATATTGTATACATATGCCAATATTTAACAACAAATCCCACCACTACGTACAACAATAATGCACCAATAAAAAATGTGGAGGAAAAAAAAGAAATCGTAATTTGGTGATTGTTGAAAATATTGAGTAAATGGGGTTTAGTTGAGCCCTCTTTACATCTTTTAGTAACCCTAGAGGCTACTCCATAGATCTTAGACCAGAAGGAAAAGGATTGCTTTATATACTCAGCATCCATTGACAGTTTTAGGCAGGGGAGAGGCCTCGGGTCTGCATCTTAGAAAAATGGTTCTGTAGCATTGTGTAACAGCAGTAACATGGAAGAACCAGCTGTCCATCAGTAGGAAAAAGTGACAAGATATACTGAATATTATATTATTACAAAATACTACATTATAATAATATATAATGATGTAATATTATATTACAATGAAAGTGAATGAAAAGAGCCACATGTATCACCATGGATAACTCTCACAGACTTGATGAACAAAAAAGCAAATTGCAAAAGGATGCAGAAGTGTGGAAATCCTTGTAAGATCCTAATTCAAACCAAATCTGTGTGTTACACCTATAAGTATGTAGTTAAAACTTTTTATAAATTCATAAAAAAGATAAACACTAAATTGTTTTTATTTCTTAGGCATGGAGATGAGTACCTATATATTAGTGTTATTATTCCTTACATATTTGCATGCATCTTAAATATTATGTTGTAATTGAGAAAAAAAAATCTTTGAGTAGAGGATAGATAATGAAATTGAAAGCAGAAGACTTAATTGCAGTAATTAGATGAGGATGGCTTTTGCAACTGAGGAGATAAAATCCACAGGGCTTTGTGATTGATGTGAGTGGTGAACAGGAAGAAGGAATTTAGAGTAGTCCCAGGTTTCTGGTGGTGATTTGGTGGATGATAGAAGTGTTGACCAAGCATTAGTCTTAGATCTGAGAGTGAGGAGGTAAGTTCAGTTTAGAACCTGTTGAGTGTAAAAACATCTAGGTTATCTAAGACATCTACCTGGAGAGTTCATTAAAGAACCTAAATGGATGATGCTTCACAGAAATGTCAAGGCAGAGATAAAGAAAACTTTAAATAATTTGTAATAAGTTCTTTATTTTGTTTTGTTTTTAAATATGAATTTATCTAGGAACAGACAGCCTTGGACAGAATACACAGTGACTAGAACATTGGTTAGTGCCCAATATATCCTGAATAGATAGAAACCAAAGTGAACAGAATCTGACATAAGAAACTAAAAGGCATTGTTTTCAGAATGGTGGGAAGAGATTCAGAAGAGTATGCTGACAGAGAAACCAAGGCAATATAGTAAAGTTTAAAGAAAGAAGTATTTAGGAAAGTCAGACACCATGGACAATTTATGTAAAAAGGATTTGGCAATTGACAAGGCACATTGTAGGTTATGCTCCTGGGTTAGCCTAGAACAGACTGTCCATAGTTGAACAACATATCAACCTTCTCTTTGGTACCTTGACACCTCATACATCACACATGGCCTTCTACCTTAGCTTTCAGCATTGTGGCTCATGGTGTGACCATTGCCTGGACTATAACTAAAATCACCATTCTCTACCTAGAAGTCTCAGCAGCACTTAGGGGTTTCTTCTCATTCAAGATAGAATGGATCAAATTTTGTCTAAGTCAGATGTGGTGGCATACACTTGTAATCCCAGCTACTCAGGAGGCTGGGGCAGGAGGATCAGTTGAGTCCAAGGATTTGAGGTTAGCCTGGGCAATATAGTGAGAGCCCATCTCAAAAATGAAATTTTTTTGGTCCAAGCTTGACCCTTAATTTCTCTAGACCTCAGCTTCTTTGTACTAGTAAGCTTTAACTATAGGCATCTCCTATACTAATGTTTTAGATTTTTTTAACTAATAAAGTCATGTATATAAAATCCTCCTAAATAACACGTACTTGAAAAGAAGGTAGTTTTGCAGATATACCTTTAGACAATTTCAAAGCCTGGAAGACTTTCAGAACATACAAAAACAGCTCAGCCCTGTGTCCTCAGCAGCTGAATAACAGCTGTAAAGTCCTCTGTGCTCTTCAATGCTGTGTGCCTTTGAAGTACTTCAGTGTAACTGCCCTTGACACCCTATCTGGACAGCTTAATTTTGTGGCTCAAATCCTCTCCCCAGTTAGAGATGAAACAGAAGTCCCTGATGAGCCTGGGGAGCGAGGCAGAAGAAAAACACAGTTTGGAAGCGACTGAGGCAAATCCAGAGAGCCTGGGTGAGTGTGCCACTGCCAGCTGTGGTCATCCGACCTTCAGTTTTCTTTTCAGAACTTTGAGAACCAGCACCCTACCTTCGGGTTACGCTAGTTGAGGCCACGTAGACCAAAAGTAATAAAGTTACTAAATGTTGTTTCCTAATACTTGTCACTAATGGAGAAAATGCCAGAGAGGAATAAGTATTTATTGACATGCTCTAAAGTGGAACATGTTTCTGATTACTTGCCTTGTCAGCCTCAGCAACTTTGTGAGACCCTGTATGAAAATGAAACATTGCCTAGCATGCAGGGCCCTGAGTTCCACCCCTAGTACTGTATATGCACAAAACAAATATGCTGAAGTTTTTACAGGTGAAAAAGTCTGATCCCTAGGATGTACATGGAAATAATTCAGGGAATGGGAGCCAGTGGGGGTGGGGGAAACAAGATTGGCTATGAGTTAATAATTACTAAAGCTGGATAATAGATATATTGAGAGGTTCTTACACTGTTCTCTATATGTTTGAAATGTTCACCATGAAACTATTCCAATATAGTCCTGGAAAGATCTTGGTTTTATATAAGGAGATAAAATTTGTTTCTATTCCATCAGTACATGTGTATATCACAGTATTAACGAAGGTATTTCTTGCCCTACATCAGAAAGTTTAAATAGATTATTTTCTCTCTGAAAGTAGGCAATATATTTAATTTTAATTTTTTGTTCATTACCATTCTTGTTTTATTTGTTTCATTTAGCAAAAGAGTGTATTCAGAAAAGTCTTCTATTACTAAAATTTTTGCCCATGGCTAAAAGTTCAAAAGAAAGCAGTGACAAGGTGGTGACTGCTGATGAAACTGATCATCTCCAGCCACTTGACAGGCGCCAGAGGACAAGCTCTGTGGTCGAAGAGCATTTCCAAGCCTCAGCGTCACCCACTGAAACAGCAGCCCCAACTGTAGGAGACAAGAGTCCTGGCTTGGAGATCCCACCAAAGTTGCCACCCAGCAGTGGCCCTCCCACTGCAGAACCTTCTACAGCTGAAGAGCCCTCATCACCTTCCACACCTACCCGGCGGCCCCCCTTCACTCGAGGGCGACTCCGGCTGCTCTCCTTCAGATCCATGGAGGAGGCCAGACCAGTGCCCACAGTGAAAGAGAAATACCCAGTTTTAAAGGATGTCATGGACTTCATTAAAGATCAGTCAATCTCTCATGAGAGGTGAGCCAATCATTCCTTCCTAGTATTCTGTCTTTTCAAGACACAGGTACCCAGTATAGTCAAAGGCTTAAAGTTCATGTTAAAAAGAACAGATAATATTTAGGATAAACCAAGTCTTATTTTGAATATTCAAGAAAAATTTTTAATTTTTTTCTTTATGAGTATTTTTTTTTTCACTTAAAACTTGGACATTATACTATTTGTAAAATGTAGCCCAGCAATGTATCATTAGGATTTAAAAAAAAAAAAAAGACGAAGCATTTCTTTTGGTAGCTGCCACTTAAAATTTTGTCTTATTTTAACCCTGGGGGAAATTTAGAATTTAATGTTTTCTGACAAAATTACTTGCCATAGACCTACCTCTTTGAAAGTATGATGGGTTTGAAGTTACTGAGGAATTTCTTATGCTAAGAATGAAAGCTTTGTCTCTTCAGGGAAGTAAAGACGTTAGAGTTCCTTTTGAATTATTTAATTTTAAAAGTAAGTTGTTGGGCTGAGCATGGTGGCGCTCACCTGTAATTCCAGCTATTCGGAAGGCTGAGGCAGGAGGATCACAAGTTCAAAAGCCAGCCTCAGCAGTGGTGACACTCTAAGCAACTCAATGAGACCCTGTCTCTAAATAAAGTACAAAATAGGGCTGGAGATATGACTCAGTGGTTGAGTGCCCCGGAATTTAATCCTTGGTACTAAAAAAATAGAGTTGTTGGGTTTCTGCAGTTAATGTGTACTAATTTGTAATGCTGAGTGATGACCTAACATAGCAAACAGATATTGATACTGTTCATGCATGTTATTTCTAATCCTCACAATAGTCTCTCCTTTTCATTCAAATGGCTTCAGAACTTGGGTGGGGGATACATTTTCTTTCCACCCCAGTTCAGGAGTTTTCTGGGCATTCCTGACTTGAATTCTTTCTCTAGTGTTGTAAAGGTTCTTTCCTTGAGGAAAGCCCAAGCCCAGAGCATCCTGGAAGTCCTGAGGATAATTCAGTACTGTACAGAGTCTCTTGGGCAGCCTCACTGCTTCCATCCACCATATATACTTTTCCTGTTGGAACTCCTGACCTGTCAGAAAGATTTTACCAAGTAAGTACAAATGCTGAATCTGCAAGGAGACCAAGCAGCGGTCATTGTAAAGAAGTCCTAATTGTCTTCTCTAATGAATAACTGTCATTTCTATTTGGGAGTCTTAAGTTATATTTTTGCTGAATTTATTTTCTCATTCTAAGGAAAAATGGGTTATATCATTTTAGAAAGTACCAGGAACATGTTCAATCTTCCTGATGACTTACCACCTTTATTTTATTAGAGTCAGAATTGTATTCCTTGTGTATCCATACTGTCATTCAGCCCCTGGCAGCTTTGAGCTAAATGTAATGCTCATTTACAGTAATGATATTAACCTATCTCTCAAGGTGGTTCTAGCCTTTGCTTGATAAATAATTTTTTGAGTGTCTACCCCTCTAAGCATTGTATATAATAATGGGCAAGGCAGACAAGGTTCTAATGGAGCTTATTCTCTACTAAAGAGCAAGAGAGAGCATTTTAAAATAAATACATAAATAAATATCATGCCAGGGGCGCTGGGGTTGTGGTTCAGCAATAGAGTGCTCACCTAGCATGTGCAAGGCACTGGGTTCAATCCTTAGCACCACATAAAAACAATAAATAAAATTAAGGTATTGTTTCCAATTATAACCAAATATATATGTATATATATAAATGCCAGGTACAGTGGCACTCACCTGTAATCCCAGCTACTCAAGAGTCTGATGCAGAAGGATTATAAGTTTGATGCCAGCTTGAGCAACTTCACAAGAGTCTCTTTCTCAAAATAAAATAAAAGAGCCAGGTGCAGTGGCGCACGCCTGTAATCCCAGCAGTATGGGAGGCTGAGGCAGCAAGTTCTAGCCAGCCTAAGCAACTTAGCGAGGCCCTAAGCAATTCAATAAAACTCTGTTTCTAAATAAAATATAAAAAAAGAGGACTGGGGTTGTGGCTCAGCGGTAGAATGCTCACCTAGCATGTGCGAGGCCCTGGATTCAATCCTCAGCACCACATAAAAATAAATAAATAAAATAAAGGTATTGTGTTCAACTACAACTAAAAAATAAATATTAAAATTTTTTTTAAAAAAAAGGGGGCTGGGATTGTGGCTCAGCGGTAGAGGGCTCAGCCGCCTAGCGCATGCAAGGTGCTGGGTTCAATCCTCAGCACCACATAAAAATAAATAAAGATATTGTGTCCATATTTAAAAAATCTTTAAAAACTTTTTTTAAAAAATATATTAAAAAAAGGCTGGAGGTGTAGCTCAATGGTTAAGCACCCCTGGGTTCAATCCCTGGTACCAAAATAATACTAATAATAATAATAGAATGATCTGGGAATATAGTTCAGTGGTGGAGCATTTGCTTAGCATGTGTGAGGCCCTGAGTTCAATCCCCAGGACCAGGAGGATTGAAAAAAAAAATAAAGAATCAGATAGTGATATTGCTATGTGGTGATTTAATACAGAGTTACGCACTTTGGGTAGTCAGGTTAAAGCAGACTGAGGAGACGACATGTAAACCAAAAGATGATTCACCAGCTGAGGTCAGGAGAAAGATGTAGAAGGAACAGTACAAAGGTTCTAGGAATTAATTCACATAACAGCATGGCTGAGTGAAAGGGGAAATGGCGTAAGGCAAGGTCAGAAAGTTAGGCAGGACTCTGATCACACCAAGATGTGTGAATTTTATACTGAGTTATAGATGGAAAAAACCATTGAAGATTTTGAAGCCCAGGAGAAGCACACTTTGATTTATAAAAGATACCTCTAGCCACTGTGTGAAAAGAGTGGAAATAAGAAAAGCAGTTAGGATAATAGTAGTTATTATAGGACACTATTGTGTCCTAAGCAGACAAGGAATGGTGATGGTTTGAACTGTGGAGTGCTGCTAGAAATAGAGAAAAAGGACGACCTTCAGGATAGATTTTGGAGGTGGAATTGTCAGACTTATCTGTAGGTTAGACAGAAAGGGTGAATGAAAGGTAGGAATCACGGGAAAAGAAACTCTTAGGATTTCTCCCGGAGCAACCAGGTGCATGGTGATGTATTTTACAGAGGAAGAGAATATGAAAGAAATGGATAGGGCAAGAATAAAAAGTTTTGTTTTGACCATGTTGTTTGAACCACTTCTTTGATATCCAGATGATATCGGGAAGACCGGGATTAGAGTTAGAAGTCCTGGAAAAAAGTCAGGATGAGGGATAGAATTCAATTGTCATCCGCTATAGATGGTTTTTAAAACCAAGAGACCAGATGAGACCTAGAAAGAGGGCAGAGAAAGACAATAAGGAGCCCAGGATTGAGCCTTTATATAGGAATCTTTATTTAGAAATCAAACAGAGGAAGAGGAGGCAGCTAATGTTATCAAAAGGGCCCTTGAGATATATTAGAAACTTAGGGATGGTGGTGCCATAGATGCCAAGAGAAGAATGTTTCTCCAAAGACAAGAATGGTCAACTGTAGGGCTGGGGTTGTAGCTTAGTGGTAGAGCTCTTGCCTAGCATGTGTTGAGGCACTGGGTTTGATTCTCAGCATTGCATATAAATAAATAAATTTTAAAAATAAAGGTCCATTGACATTTAAAAAAAAAGAAAGAAAAGAAAGAATGGTCAGCTGTGTCAAATGCTGGTGCAAGAAGTGAGATAAAAACACACTGTATTTGGCAAAAATCCTAGTGGACCCAGGGGGCTGAAAGCCCAGTTGGACTGGATTGAAAGAGAATGGGGGTGATATGAGGCAAAAACAGACTAAAGACAATTAGTTCAAAAATTTTGAACTTAGAAGGGAGCAGAGAAGGGGGGATGTGGGACAACTAAGGATTTTATTTTGTTTTGATTTTTTGTGGTGCTGGGGATTGAGCACATGCTCTACCATGAGCTACACTCCCAGCATTGCCACTGAGGTGTTAGAATGCTTTTGAATATTGATGGGAATGAATCAGCAGGAGGGGAAGCCAATGTAGGGGAAGTGGGGATAGTCTGCAGTAGCAGCTGTGGAGTTGATTTTGGCTTTGCACAGAATCAGGGTAGCTTTGTGATAGCAGAAAGAAACAGGATAGACAGACAGTTCAGTGCAGATGCAAGTTGGTTGCTAAATTGGTGGTACAAAGATGAGGGATTTCCTTTGATCACTTATGTTTTTTTAAAGTAAAATGTGAGGATAGTCATCAAAAAATGGAGGGTTGAGAAGGCTGTTTAAGGAGAAGCAAGAAGGTTCTAGATGATATGAAAATTGAGAAAATCAGTCTATGAGACTGCCTTATAATATTTCTAAGTGCTTATTTGAGAATTACAGTCATGAATTTAAAGTGACACTGGTCCACTTGTTTATGTGACCTAGCTACATACAGCAGTTTTGATACAAGTATAAAATTTCTCAGCAAGCAGATGGAAGTAGAAGGAAGCCAGAGAGTTGGCATGGGCCAGGGCTCATTTGGAATTGAAGAAGAGATTGTGTGAGAGTCCACAGTAAGACAGCAGGATGAGAGGTTGTAGGCAGAGTTGCATGCTCTGAAGTCAGCCATCATTTGATGACAGTGTCAAGGAAATGACCATCAACTTGGGATGGCTAAGGGCATGGAAGAGAAGATCCTTGGCAATGAAGGTGGCAGAGGGTTTGAGAGAAAAAGGAATAGTGGTATCACTCCTAGGGATGTTGAAGTCACTAAGATAAAAAGGATGAAGGTAGAAAAGCCAGTGACCTTAGTACTAAAGTCATCAAGGGAGGCAGAAGGGTGGGCATGATTATGTGGAGATTATTAAATGAGATAATTTGTGAAAAATACTTAACAAAGTATCTGGCACTCAAGGAGTGGGGGGGAGGCATGGTTTTTTTATTAATAAAATAAAAGAAAGATGAATAGTTAATCATCTCCAAACTTCTGTGAGGTAGCTCTTGACCTGGTCAATTTGACTCACTTGCTGTTTTCTCCATTACTTTCTAAAATTATTACTCCTGTTATCATTTAAGTTTCAGCACCACTTTGTTCAGCGTGCTGCTTCTGGGCTCTTTCATGTAAGGAATAGGATTATTAAATAAAAGCTGTCTTGGCAATTAAGTCCATGGTTTCCTTTCTTTCTAGTTACTTTGGACACTTGGAAGGCTGTGGTGCTGATCTACACAAAGAAATTCGAGACACTTACTATCAACTTGTTATGTTTTTGGTCAAAGCAATTAAAGGATTTAATAGCATAAATGACAGGTACTGGATGACTTTTTAACTTCTAGAGGAAAAAAATGTATTTTTTTCTGCAAAGTTGAAAAGAAAGGATAAGATAAAAATAGCCTCTAATCTTATCATTTAGAACTATTCATTAATGTTAATTTATTAGTATATTTTTTGCTAGTCTTTTTTCTGTTTGATATGTACATTAAGTATGAGTTTTGTTTTATCTAGGAGTTTTATAACCTATTATTTTTAGTTTTTGATGTATTATTTGTAGTTTTAAAACTTGAGTATAAAACTATTTTTCAGTATCCTCCTTACTAAGTGGTTTAGATATAAACCTTAAGTCATATGTCTCTTCTGTAAATCTAAATTGCATAACTTTAGCTAGTTTGGGGTGGCCCAATTTGCTGACCTTTACTGCTCAGCCTCTACTGTAAAGAAGGCCCTGTAGTAGTCCTGGCAGAATGGAGAACTTACCTTACACCTTTCAGTCTTCTTTTGCTTAATCTTTGGAAGACGTTTGTATGGAATATGAGTGTTTCTGCTTTCCTATTACAGATAAGATACTGACTTGCATTGCCCCTGTTGTCGTTATGTTGGTTATGGACAGCTCTGTTAACTGTCACTTTTGTGGCCTCCCCCTTAGATCCCTGCTGCCTGCCTTATCCTGTGTTCAGACAGCCCTGCTTCATCTGTTGGATATGGGCTGGGAACCCAGTGACCTTGCCTTCTTCGTTGACATTCAGTTACCAGATCTCCTCATGAAAATGTCACAGGAAAATATAAGTGTCCATGACAGTGTGATCAGGTAAGAACACGGTCCTGTATTCCGCAATTCCTAAAGTAGATGATAAGATACAGGGATCATAGCATAAGGGTGAAGGGCATGGGCTCCAAAGCAAGAGTCTGTGTAATATAGATCCTGGGCTTTGCCACACACTGGCTGGGTGACTGTGGGCAAGTTATTTAATCCCTCTGTGCCTCAGTTTCCTCATCTTTAGAGATAAGATGATAACACAATCAGCCTCTATATTAGCCACTATGTTCTAATAAATATAGGGACTTATATAAGGACTTACCTTATAAGAAAAAATAATTTGCAAGTTTGTTTTTTTTTTTTCATTCCATTTTTGACGAATGTCTCTTCAAAGTCCAGGTACACTTACCATTATCTACTTGTGTGTGTGAAAAGAAAGAAGAAAATAGAGTTGGAGGGAGCAGGCTTCAAGAGGGGAGAATGAGGAAGAAATAAATCAGTGAGGCAATTTTTACTCTCAGGAGAGATATTCTGAGAAAAGAAGACACAGCCTTGATCTGCTGCCAGAGAGCAATGAGGGCAGAGAGAGGGAACACAATGCTGGGTGGGCATCAACATGCGGTTTCATCTTCTGTCAGTCTGCCATTATTTCAAGCTTTGTCTGCATCTACATGATACAGTCTTTGGGGGTAGGTCACACCCCTCACACCAATCCTTCCTGGCACTAGCCCAAAGCTATGAAGAATAGACCTAAAATCATTTTGGTGGGATACGTGAATGAATGTATATTTATTTGTTGGTTGGAACATTTTGCATTTGCTATCAAGCAAATCATTTTGTGTTTAAAATACTTGTTGCTAAAACAAACTGAAGGGGCTGGGGATGTGGCTCAAGCGGTAGCGCGCTCGCCTGGCATGCGTGCGGCCCGGGTTCGATCCTCAGCACCACATACAAACAAAGAACAAAGATGTTGTGTCAGCCAAGAACTGAAAAAATAAATATTAAAAAATTCTAAAAAAAAAAAAAAAAAAAAACTGAAATGATGGAAATTTATAGTTTTGAATCTAAAAGGAACCTGCCCATGAGATTATCTACCTGAAATCCTTTATTTAAAATGAGGAGACAGGACAAGGGCAAAATACAGTCTTCCTCAGTATCCTTAAGAGATTGGTTCCAGGACCCCTCACCAATAACAAAATCTGCAGATACCCAAGTCCCTTATATAAAATATAAACTACCCACATCCTCCCATATACTTCGAATTATTTCTAAATTACTTATAATATCCAATATAATATAAATGATACCTAAATAGCTATTAAGTTAAATAGCTATTACATTGCTATAGCTATTTATACATTGTTACACGATGTTACACATTGTTTAGGGAATGATGACAAGAAAAAACTGATTCAGAACAGACACAATTTTTTTTTTCTAATTTTTGATTCAATGATGGTTGAATCTAGGGACATGGAACTCTGGGCTATAGAACCCACAGATACAGAGGGCCTACTCTAATGAATCAAGGCTTTGTAGCAGCTAGTGGTGGAGCCGAAGTCATATGTCCTGACTCCCTTTTTGTGCTGATTCCACTAGGATGTTCTAAGCATGTCCGTATAGAACTTTTTTTTTTTTTAATCACTGTTTTGGCCCAAGAGCCTGGCACATGATTGGTTCACCTCACCCAGGGTAATCTACTCTGAAAGGGGCTTCTCCATTTTTATTAGCATATATCTAGCAAATAGTAGACAAACCCTGCAGTTTTTAAAAGTAATTGACTTTTCTCTTAAAATGTTTAAAATTGCCCACTCTATTAGACCCATAAGTCATGGAGTCTGCTAACTAGCGCTTTCCTTGGATATCCAGAGATGCATGCTCCCTCTTCTTCTTCTCTCCTCCCTTCCTCTCCCTCCCCCCATCTCGGTTTTTTGTTGTTGTTGTTTGTTTTTTTTATGCTTTTTTTTCTCTTTTTGCCCTCCTTTTAGCCAGTGGAGTGAAGAAGATGAGCTTGCTGATGCCAAGCAGAACTCAGAGTGGATGGATGAGTGTCAGGATGGCATGTTTGAGGCCTGGTATGAAAAAATAGCCCAGGAGGATCCAGAGAAGCAGAGGAAAGTAAGACCTCCCAATTAGAGTGATCTGGAGTTTGGAGAGGAGGGTGTGCTTTGGGCCTGCTGGCAGGATTTCTCCTGAGAGGGCATTCTGGACCTTCACATCTGGTATTAACCTGAGAGGCTCTGCATGCTGATGTGACTGTCAGTGGCCCCCTCCCACAGAACTAGACTCAAAAAAGAGTGTCTTACAAGGCTGATGTACTGTGTTAGGTATCAATTCGTTAATTTACAGTGAGAAATAGAATTGTTACAGGACCTGGGTTCTTGTGGCCTTGGGTAGCACATTTTCTTCATGGAGGCAAGCACCAGGGAGGGTTGTCTGATGAGTGAGGAAGCAGCCATCTGTATACTGCAGTCAGAACTGCATGATGCAGATGAGTAAGGCACCTGGCTCAGGTGGCCTATCCATCCACCTCCACATTAGGTGTTAACTTTGTTGCTACCACAGGTGCCAGGCTTCTGCTGCCTCAGAGTCATTCGTATTTTATGCTTGAGTGCCTACTTGTACTGACCACTTTGCTCATGTGGCACTTCTGCGGTGCTTGGAATTTTTCTCTGGGCCCACAATTGAGCCTTGTGACTTTTTCTCTCTTTTATGTTAATACCTTATTTGGAGCCATTCTGTATTTCTCAAATGATGGGCATATTTCCTCTGCTACTACATATCTACTACTATATGTGACTTACATATTTAGTTCCTTCATTTCTAGGCCCTAAAGATAAACTGTACTATAGCCTCCAAATATTTCCAGTAAACAATCTGCTTGCTTATGAAACAGTGCCTTTACTATCTCCCTAAAGTTTTTTTTTTTTAATTTCCTCATTTTTTTGTTGTTGGTGCATTGTAGTTGTACATATTGATGGGATTTGTTGTTACATATTGGTGTAGGCACACAATATAACAATATAATTTGGCCAAAAGTTTGTTTCTTAGCACTTAAAAGAAAATGCACCTTTTGCAGTGTTTCCTGTGTCTGTGAACACTACCAATATCCAGCCAAAAACCCAAACTAAATATTTGGATGCTATTCTTGGCCGTTCCCTTTTACTGAACCCCACATCAAGTTAGTCACCAAGGTTTCTCACTTCTGCCTCTTGAATACCTCTCAAGTCTGCTCACCTTCCCCTACCCAACTTCTTGCTCAGTTCCAGGCCATGTTACCTGTCCATTTGAACAGCTTCTGTTGTCATCATTTTCCCTGGCTTTCGTCTTGCCCTCTTCAATCCCTTGTTTTACTCAGTGATCAGGGGAACTTTCAGAACATTCAAATCTAATTCCATTACTCTCCTACTTAAAAACAGTCAATAGCTCCTTAGGCTAGCATTCAAGTTCCTTGTGGTTTAACCTTTTCAACTTCATCTGGTTATTCCCCCGCCTTCTCTATATTCTACATAAAGGGTTATTGCCAATTTCATAAACCCTTGTCTTGCCGTCTTTTGCTTCCTGTAGAACTTTCTATATCTTTTACTTTTATCTGATATGTCTAACCACATTTACCCGCTCCCAGCTAGTACCTCTTTCTCCCTCAGGTCTCAACTGAGGAATTAATCTCCTTTGGAAAACCTTCCTTGACCCTCCTAATACCCATTGATAGCCATTCTCTATGTTCTGTAAGCCTCCCAAATTTGTATGTGAAAGCACATATCACACCCAGATGGTCATCATCTGCTTGCTTAAAGGATTTCCCAACTAGACACTTAGTTTATTCAGCTTCAAATCCTAGCACCTAGTATAATGCCTGGGTCATCTTGAGTACCTATTGAATGAATGAGTTGGTTAATGAATAGTGGCCACATTAGAAAGTCTCATGGTTAATTGTGTTTATTTCACTTTACAGATGCACATGTTTATTGCTCGCTACTGTGATCTGCTAAATGTGGACATCTCTTGTGATGGGTGTGATGAGATTGCTCCCTGGCATCGCTACCGGTGTCTACAGTGCAGTGACATGGATCTGTGCAAAACTTGCTTCCTAGGTAAATTTCAAAGACTAAGTATGTCATATTCAACAGTCATAATTATTCCTATTTTCTGTGATCTGGCCGTCTTTTAAAACCCTCCTTTTACTAAATAGATATACTGCCCATTGGTATCCTCTGACTCTGGCTCTATCTCCCCTGCTCAGTGATCAGGTCCACTGCTCTTATATGACAGCCTTTCATCTCCCACTGTGCTGGGTGGGCACTTAATAAATACTCAGGACCAATGGATATATGTTTAGTTGGGTTTCCAGGAATTTTTTTTTTTCTTTGTGGTACTAGGGATTGAATTCAGGGCACATCGATGCTAGGCAAGTGCTCTACCACTGAGCTACATCCCCAGACCTCAGGAAATAGTTTTTGCTTCTGAATCATGCAGTATTTACAAATAGCAAATCACACACACAAAGAAAACCTTCAAAAAATCTTTAACTCATAGGTACTGAGTGAGGCAAAGCATATCAACAGAAGTGAACATTGGACTGCTCTGTGTATACATGGTTAGATACAGCTCCTGTTCTGGAAACATTTATAATCTAGCCAGGAGACTGACTGTATCCACAGATGTCTATTCCAATACAAGGGTGTATATGCTGAGTTATCATTGAGTAGTATAGATTTCTTCTGGAAAAGTTAAGAAGTAGCCATGGTGTTGCTGTAGGAAAGGCTTGTGGAAGAAGTAGAATGAGACTTGGTCTTTGAAGAAAAGAACTAGATGAGTCAAAGAAAATTCTAAAGATGGGGTCACCATCAAGGATAGAATAAGCCCAGGAGGAGAGGAGTGAATGCCTGCAGTGAGTTTAGATGGACACACTTGAGTGTCTGTCCAACCAAGTGATAGATTAGGACAGGTGGGACCCCAAGATACCAGGCTAAGAAATTTGAATAGTTTACAGATAATAGGGAAGGTTTACTAAGCATAATATTAACATGATCAGAGATATATAGAGAAAACAGTTCTGTCTGTGTGAGAGTATCCTTTAGAAGTCAGTGGTTATAAGAGTATTAGAGCCTGAACCTGGTTGGTGGCAGCGAGAACAGAAGTGGTCAAATATGAGGAGTATTAAGCAGAATCTACATCAGGACTTAGAGTCCTGCTGGACTTGGAATAGGAAGAGAGCAGAGCAACCAATCTCCCTGTTTTTGAAGTTCTGGGGATTGAACCCTAGGGCACTCTACCGCTGAACTATATCCCTAGCCCTTTTAAAAATGTGTTTGGTTTTTGGCACAGGGTTTTGCTAAGTTGTTTAGGCTGGCCTGGAACTTGTTATCCTCTGCCTCAGAGGCTGAGGCCTCCCAGGTAGCTGAGATTGCAGACGTGCACCACCACACCTGACTAGCCAGTACTTTCCACGTCTATCATCTAAATCTCTACTCTCTAGATCTGAGGTTATGAAGTCTGTTTACATCTGTGGTTCTTGAATGAAAAAGTAAGAGCAAATACTTGATCATTCCTTAGTGTTTGCTGAGGAACATACCTACAGATTCTTCATATTTGTCAGAGGAGAGTCATGGGAGACAGCTCACAAATTGGCATAGATTTGATTCTGCCAAACAACATTCATGATGGGAATTGGTAATTTATTTAATCAGACTGTGGCACTGGAGAAGCAGGGTCAACATTGCTGAGCAATTCTGTACTGGTATTGTCATTCACATGCTCAGAGCCACTGGGGCAGAGTGTCCTGGTCTCCAAAGGATGCCTGCAGCTCCTACCTTCCTGAACAGTAAATTGGGAGCAATTCTAGTACTGAGATTGGTTTGTTAGAACTTCTGGGAGCCCTGTGCCCTATCCACCTAATACTCCTGTTTTTCTCCAGGTGGAGTGAAGCCTGAGGGCCATGGAGATGACCATGAAATGGTCAACATGGAATTTACCTGTGACAACTGCCAGGGTTTGATTATAGGCCGGAGAATGAATTGCAATGTGTGTGATGACTTTGATCTTTGCTATGGATGCTATGCCGCAAAGAAATATTCCTATGGGTAGGTCTCAGGTGACTTAGAGCCATGTAACCTTTTCTTTATTTATTTCTTCACTTAAAGAGAGGGCTTCTTATTGTTTTCTTTTTCTTTTTTTTTTTTTTTTTTCAGTGGTACTAGGGATCAAACCCAGGGCCTCACACATGCTAGGCAAGTGCTCTACCATGGAACTATACCCCACAGCCCTCCTTTTATTTTGTGGTACTAGGGATTGAATTCCAGGGGCACTGAACCAATGAGCTACATCCTCAACCCTTTTTATTTTTCAGTTTGAGACAGAGTCTTAGAAAATTGCTTAGGGCCCCGCCAGGTTGCTGAGGGCCTCATCAAGTTGCTGAAGCTGGCCTTGAACTTATGATCCTCTGCCTCAGCCTCCCAAGTTACTGGGATTACAGGAGTGTGCCACCACACCAGGCTAAATAAGGTTTTTATTACAGAAAATTTCAAACATACCCTAAAATAGTGCAGTGAGTTTTCCTATACCCATTGCCCAGATTCAGCAATTAGGAAGATTTTGTTATATGTGTTTAGTTTATTTCTTTTTTTTTCTTTATAAAAACATCTTGAAGCAAATTTGAGACCTTAAATAACTTCTTTCCCATGTACTTTGTCTAAAGATTATAAGTGTTTTCTCACATTACCAAAACACCATGCCTTGCAAAATTCACAAAAGGGACTTCTTAGCCTGTTTTCCACAGGCAGTTCTCTAAAGATTATGAAATCCTGAGCCAGGTATGGTGGCACATGCCTGTAATCCCAGCAGCTCAGGAAGCTGAGGCAGGAAGATCATGGTTTGAAGCAATTTTATAGAGGCCCTTTGCAATTTACTAAAATCCTGTCTCAAAAAAAAAAAAAATAGGGGGCTGGGGATGTGGCTCAAGCAGTAGTGCGCTCGCCTGGCATGCGGGTGGCCTGGGTTCAATCCTCAGCACCACATACAAACAAAGATGTTGTGTCCGCCGAAAATAAATATTAAAAAAAAATTTCTCTCTCTAAAAAAAAAAAAAAAAAAAAAGGGCTAGGGATGTGGCTCAGTGCTTAAGTGCCACTGGGTTTAATCCCTGATATCCCACCCAAAAAATTACAAAATTCTGTAATGTAATGTTATGTTCTATGTTTGTGTTTGTTCATTTTTCTTGTCTTTAACCTTTGAATAACTACAGCCTAGAGGTGACTAATCCCAGAAGCAACTAAACACATGCCCTGGGCCTCTCTTTGGAGCTTCATAAACTCTATAGGCCTTACATATATCTTGCCTTTGCAGCCATTTGCCTACCCACAGCATCACAGCCCACCCCATGGTGACCATTCGGATCAGTGACCGGCAGAGGCTCATCCAGCCTTACATCCACAACTACTCCTGGCTGCTCTTTGCCGCCCTGGCTCTCTATAGTGCACACCTGGCCAGCACAGAGGTTGTAGATGGGGAGAGACTGGACCCCCAGGCCCACAGCAATGCCATCATCCTGCGGAGCCAGTGCATGCAGCTTGTCGGCGACTGTCTGATGAAGGCTCACCAGGGGAAAGGTGACTATTCATCATGCCCAGAAACCAGGACCAACCCTCAGACTGCTCGACCCAGAGGTAGAAGAGTCCAGTATTCCACACGAGGGGCTCACCTGGTGTGGTACTCAAGTCCACAGATTCAGTTGAGAGAAATGATAGCATTCAAGTGGCATTTAGTTTCTCTAAAATATTTACATGAAGATATAAGAAAGTATTAATAATTAAAACTCTAATTATTAAACTGTAATTGGATTATTTAGTATTTTGATCTACTAAATTTCATGAGGAAGTCTAGATTATTTTTAACATGAAGTACAAATCTATTTCCATGTAACTATTCTAGATGAGAGATATTTATAAGTAAAATAGTTGATCTGACTTCACCAAGGATGTTAGGAATAAAGTAAATATTTAGCTGGGCACGGTGGCGCACGCCTGTAATCTCAGCAGCTTGGGAGACTGAGACAGGAGGATTGCGAGTTCAAAGCCAGCCTCAGCAACAGGTGAGGCACTAAGTAACTCAGTGAGACCCTGTCTCTAAATAAATACAAAATAGGGCTGGGGATGTGACTCAGTGGTTGAATGCCCCTAAGTTCAATCCTTGGTATGCCCACCAAAAAGAAAAAGAAAAAAGAAAAATGTTTAACTTCTGAGAAATTCACATTTCTCTCTGATAATGAACTCCCCATTCTGGTTATTTTAGAGAATCAGACCTACATTAGATAGCAATGGGTAATATCAGTGCATCAGAACAAGTTTTTTTTTTTTTTCAGTTGTAGATGAACACAGTACCTTTATTTTATTTATTTTTATGTGGTGCTAAGTATCAATCCCAGTGCCTCACACATGTGAGGCAAGCACTCCACCACTGAGCTGTAACCCAAGCCTACATCAGAGCAAGTTTTTATCTGCCAATTGGAATTTAGAAATCTAGTTAGTGGCACATCTATGAAAGTATAATATTTTTAATTTTTGAAACAGACAATCCTGTTGTATCTTCTGTGTTTTCTTGATAATAAAATGTCCAGACTTTCACCTTCTGAAGTCAGGAACTAAATAGATGTAGATAGCCAGGGATGTTTTTATTAAGTTCTCCTGATTTTGGTTTGTGTAGACCTCAGCCATCTGTTTCTATGCAGTGATAAGTGATTTGAGTCTTTTGCATGAAATAATCTTTGTTATAAACTTTTAACTATTCTCTTTCTTCCCTTATAGGTCTTAAAGCTCTCGCTCTTCTTGGTATATTGCCAGATGGTGACTCTACGCCAGAAAACCAATCCCTCCCACTTAGCGTACCTACCCGCACATCAGAGGAACAGCTAGAGAAGAAAGTGGTCCAGCCTGCTGAGGAGCCGGCAGAGGCAGGCTCTTTTGTGCACTGCAATGTAAATAGCACTTCTCTATGCAGAGTCATAGTTGAGCTCTGAGAGCCATTCACATGATGAAGCAGAGCTAAAATGTTAAAAGTACAGATCCTCGCTAGATCGGGCTGCTGGGTTCACATCCCTGCTCTGTCAGATCTTGGTCATATTACTACAATCTCTGCCTCCATTTTCTCATTTGTAAAATGGGGATGATAATAGCAATACCTATGACATATGGTTGTTGTGAGGAGTTATCTTATACACTTTGAAATAATATGTAAGTGATTAGAACGTGTGCATGGTAAGTTCCATGTCATTGTTAACTATTCCTATTATCTGCCTCCTGGTGGTTTTCCTAATGACTGAACAAGATATGCAACTAAAGAAGTTCTTAGTCCTTGGTAAGCATTGTATATGTGTAGGTATTTTTATGTTCAATCAACAAATAGTTGATACCAAAATCTTACTATTTAGCAAGTAGACACCATAAGTTTATATGTAGTTGCATAGACAGAAAAGCCTTTCTGGGTCCAGGTATTACCTGTGATAGTGACACTTAAAAGGACTGTCTGATGAATATAAAATAATTTTTATTTAATATTTAAGGTAAGGACCTTTAAGACAAAGATTATGTTTAAGATAAACATTAAAATCATTCACCAGAACTTTGGAATTACATTGTCTTCACACAGTGGCACGTGGTACAGGGAGCACATTGAGATCTTTCAGTAAGGCAAGTACCTCTCAGAGTCACAGTTGTCTCTTAAAATGGTCTGTATCCATTCTCAGGAGGTTAGGACTGATGTCAGCTAACAGTATCCAGAAAGGGGGAAGCATAAGTTAGCTCCCACTGGGAGAGGACATACCTTCCCCTGTATGTTTGGTGTTACATGACACTTCACTTTTGGCTGCAGAGAGGCAATCAAATTTGGATTTCCCAAACTAAGAGCTGAGCTGCCTCTACCACACACTGAAGTCTTCCCACATCACTTAGATACCTCATATAAGTCTGCGTGACAATGGGGGAAAGACCCTAAGGTCCTGATGCACACGCATTCATTTTCTGACCCCTGCTCAGAAAATGCAGACTGAGGGCTGTCATCTTGCATGTTGGGCAGCTCACCCTCAGATTCCTAATCCCAGAAGTTTCCCAGCTTCAGCAAGAGCCCCCTTAACAAGTCTCATTGCCAGATGAGATTCTCAAAAGGGCAACAGAGGTATGCTTGTTCATTTGTTAAAATAGAGAACAACTAATACCAGAATGTGTTAAAGAGGGTGCAAGTATGTGGTTTAGAAATGGTGTCTGGTTTGTTTGTTCAAATTATATCTGTTGTGATTTTTTTTTTTTTTTTTTTTAATGCTGGGTATCAAACCCAGGCCCTTGTGCATGCAAGGCAAGCATTCTACCAAATGAGCTATATTCCCAGCCCTGACCAAGTGGTATATGCAATAGATTTATCAACACCTACCGTATTAACACAAAGTAGATTTTATAGAAAACTGATAGATACATAGCCCACAACTCTGTCCCACAGCCTAAGAATGCTAATTTCTAAATTTTTGTTTTGTTTTGTACTGGGGATTCAACCCAGGGGCACTTTTCCACTAAAATGCATCCCCAGCCCTTTTTTAAAAAAAATTTTTGAGACAGGGTCTCACTAAGTTGCTTAGGGTCTTGCTAAGTTACTGAGGCTGGCCTTAAACTTGCTATCCTCCTGCCTGAACCTCTCAAATTGCTGAAATTATAAAGGTGCATCAACATGCCCAGAAGTAACTCTCCCCCCAACACCACTGCCCTGTGGTACTGAGCTACATCCCCCCACCATTCCAAATACCAATTTCTATATCAATAAAATGTCTACATCAGTGGAATGGAAACAGTATCATGCTTCTAGGCTTTAGATTTGGTATAGTCATATTTTCATAATAATATGAAATCTAAACTTTTTTCCTAATGATAAAAATTTGCTTTTCTATTGAAAAAGAACATACATCGCATACATCAAACATAGTCACCATGGTATACTAGAAGGAAATGGATAACTTTTTCTTTTTCCCAAGGGAAGAACTTTCCATACCTGGCTAAACAGAATGTATTAAAGATCTGGAATAGAGCCATTGCTTATGTGACTACAAGGTCTAACAGGGGCATTTGGAAGATGTTTGGAGGAATGTGACACAATGATTACTATCTTAATGAATCATAGATGTATTTAAAAAATGAGTGGCATTTTTAATAATGAATTCAGAAGTTTTTTAATTTATTAAAACTAATGATAAAATTGTACTATAAATAGGATAAATTTTTGTTATTAAAAACCTTAGTTCTTATACACACACCATCATGTTTTTAGGGAAGGAGAGCTGCAGACAAGGAAATCAGACCTTTGGATTACAAGCAGAGAAGTAAGGCAAATGCAGGTATCTTGTTCATGAAGGATCATTCAGGCCAGACCCACACTCCAAATGTACCTGCAGATGCTCACATACCTCCAGGACTTCCAGGTAAAGAATATCTGGCCAGTACCTTATCTCTTTCATCTTCAAATGTACTCTAGCCTGAGCTTGTTGGTTTTACACAATTTTTGAAGTCACCTTTCATTCACTTTGACTGCTTTCCCACCTTATTTATTTCCTGTATTTATTGAGTGTCTCCCATGTGCCAAGCACTATGCTAGACCCTGGGGAGAACAGAGACTGACTCAGAGAGACACACAGAGCCTCCCTCCCTCCCACCTCCCCATTCCACCCCCACTTCCCTGCTGAAGCTCATAGCCTAGGAGAACTTAAGACAGAGGTGTAGGTAAGTGTCATAAGGGACCTTGATATATGAGGATCTGTGGTAGGGATCAACATTCAGGGCAGAAAGTACACCATGAGCAAAGACCCTGAAGTAGGAAAATCCCGGAACAATATAGAGGAGAAGTCCCTCTTGGCAGGTGTGTAGATATGGGATACAAGATAAAATGAGACCTCTTCAGTGGGGTTCCTCTGCAAAGGCTTTAGCTGCTTGCCTAGGGATTCCAGGCTTCTCAGCCTGCCTAAGGAATGCAATGGCAAGGCGAGAGCCAGGTTGTTAGAGAATTCATGCATGATGCTGTGGCTGAAGAGATCAGAAGCAAGCCTCAGCCTCCTTCTTACTGCAGCCCCTGGTGGAAGATCTGTTCCTTCAGCCCTCTGTGTGGAGGTGGGACTGAGCACCTGGCATTCTGCCTCATATATGGAACCAGCTCTCAGAAGGGGCTGACACTCCACATCCATCCAGGCCATCAAAGTCCTCTGGAGTTGGATTCCCCTGAGGACCAGCATGCTGGTTCATAGGCAGCAAGTATTGTCAACTACCTACCATGCTCCAGAGACATTTCTAGGTGCCCGGGTACAATACTGAAAGAGATAAAAATCAGTAGGGCAGACAATAAATATGAAATGTTAAATGATAAAATGTTAGCATCTAATTTAAGAGCAGAGTCAGAAGAATGGGGAGGTGTGAGAGGGTAACTGCCCATTCCATAGGGAGCAGGCAGGCTTCCTTGAGAAGAGGACATCTTAAAAATGTGCTCAGCAATAGTTTTTTAAAGTTCCAGCATTACTCTGGAACAGGATAGCACAGTGATTTACTTGGCATGTATAGAATGTGGCAAAATCTGAAAGTTGGCATTTTACAACACAGATGCTGAAAATTCAGAAGTGTCACCTCAGGAGCCAATAGAGGAAAAGGCAGTTACTCCCAACCCTGAGCAGGTGTTCGCTGAGTGTTCCCAGAAGAGGATTTTGGGATTACTAGCAGCCATGTTACCTCCCCTAAAGTCGGTAAGAGACAGGCAGCATTTCTTTGTAAAGGGGGTAATGTCATACTCAGAAAAAAAAAAAAATGTTGTTATACTAGATGCTGAAGCAGACTGTTAATAATAGTCATCTGTGTACCCCTGAGGGAGGAATTTTCAATTAAAATTATTTTCTTCATTGAGTCCCCACTACATTTTGTATGTATGTATGTTTATACGTGTGTGTGTGTGTGTAGTATATATTACAGTTTACTGGCTTTATTATAATCATTTTTCTATTATTTTATTTTGAAAAATTTTAAGCTAAGAAAAATTTGAAAGAATGAATGAAAATCTATATAGATTTACTAGTTGTGAATTTATCTCTGCATATTTACATATTGCTTATATTTTTTTCCAAGTTTTGAAAATAACTTGAAATGATCACTGACACTTCAGCATGTGTCTCCTAAAAAGACAATCTTCTATATAACTACAGTGTCATCATCATATTTTAAAATTTTAACATTGATAGAGTAGTTTTATCTTATATAGAGGCTATATACAGATTTTTCTAAAATATTCCTTCAAGCAATTTTTTTAAAAAATCAGAATCCACTGAAGAATTGCATTGCATTTACATGGCATACTTATTAGTCTCTTTTAATCGATTTTTCTCTCCTTTTTGTTTGTTGTTTGTTTTGATAACTTAATCCCAAAGTCTTCAAAGAGTCTAGACAGTTCAGATATGTCTTCATTATTTTTTATAATTTTCTGGACTCTGCATATTTTTCTTTTTAAAAAAAAAATTGTAGTTGTAGATGGACAGCATGCATTTATTTTATTTGTTTATTTTTTTATGCAGTGCTAAGGATCGAACCCAGTGCCTCCATGTGCTAGGCAAGCATTCTGCCACTAAGCTACAGCCCCAGCCCCATAATGAAGTTCTTTTTGAACTTCAGAATAATTTTTTACCAAGGATTCAGCTAGCACTTTCATTGAATTTACATATTAATTTAGGAATTACTGACATCTTTATAAGAGTCTCCTTTTTTTGGTGGGAGGGGGGTTGAACAGAGAGGAATTGGACAGAACATTGATGAAACAGAATTTCTCAAGTCTGCAGAGTTTTGGGGAAAGGAGGTGTCCCCAGTACCAAAGATTTGGTCCTCAGATCTTTTGATCCAAGGGCCTTTTTTAGTGTTTGCTGGGAGATGCTCAGACTTAGCAATAATTTTTGCTTGAGAGTTGAAAATGATTAACGAATCAGTCACAGTTCACAGGGGCATGTGTCTGACATGAAAAGCCATGTGTTCCTTTTGGTATATAAATGTACAGGGATAAAGAATGAGTCATAAATTCATACTGATCCCTGCAATTATCATCATAAACCACAGGTTCATTCTAGTTTTTTCCTTTTTTGTCTTTATAACTCCTGTCTTTAACAGTGAGATCCGAGATCCCATTATCATTTATATGATTACTTATTTGATCAACCTCCCAGCTGCCATTCTTCTTCTTTCAGAGGTGTCCTTGTCTCCCTCTAGACTCTTGACACTCTGCCCTGTGCCTCTACTGGTGAATACTTCCTTTCCGTGCCTGGGGCTATCCTGATGTCAGGGTACCCCCTTGCATTGAGGCCACCCTCACCCACAGCAGGCTGTTACTCAGCACAACATTCTCCTTAGGCTTCATGAAAATGCATGCCAGGCTAAACTCCCCACATGGACGCCCTCACCCCTCCACATGTGCTCAGACACTCACTTCAGGCTGCACTGCCACACTGATGCCCCCATTCAGAGCTCAACTCTTGACTCTTGAGCGTGATTCCTGGGAATGCCTTCCTCAACCCATTTGTACTCTGCTGTTCCTGATATGGAAACTCTTTGCCCCATGCTTGGGCTCTGACTGCAGCCCACACCAGCCCAGTCCTTATCTAGATGCCTTCTTCATTCTTGGACACCAGTAACCCCACAGGCTGCCCCTTCAAGGGCATGCCTTCTTGAGAATCATTTTTTATTTCTGAGAACATTTTTTGTTGTTGTTCTTCGGTGCTTTGTTTTCATATTATACACATAGTGCCCTCTTGAATCACACTGTAGATAACAACTCACACCGTGCTCCCTCTTGGTATATAAACCTAGCGAGAGAGAGAATGAATCATAAATTCATTCCAATCCCTGTAATTATCATTGTAAACCACAGGCTCTTTATCTAAATGGTATTTATAATGAAGAATTGGAAACAAAGTAAGTTAATGGGCAGTATTTAAAGAAAGAAAAATAACTTTAAAATTGCTAATTTGTTTTACATGTGTTACATGTTAATGTACTTAGAAAAAGGTTGAAAGGCTATTCATTAATCCGTTAATAGCTGTTATCTCCTGGACATTGGTGAAGGGGCAGATTATGGAAAGCATTAATTTTTGTGTATTTCTGAGTTATTTAATTATTTTACAATGGACATATCAGGAGGGGAAAACATCCAAACATTTAAGTTTACTTTTTAGGGTAAAGGAATTGGAAAGTAGGACCATAAGATGATACTCAAGAATATTTATTTTGCAATTGATCATACACGTGCCATTTATGAAAGCCACTGCATAATTCTTTTGGCACTAGGCCAGTTGTAAATAATACTCAAAGGGGATGAAGAGTTTAGCTGGTCTGGTTGCGTGGATCCTCTACTGAAGAGCTCTCCCCTCTCTTGGCAGGGTCCCACAGTTCCCCTGATAGACCTGGAGCATGTCCTCCCACTCATGTTTCAGGTTGTCATCTCCAATGCAGGCCACCTGAATGAAACCTACCACCTCACCCTGGGTCTTCTTGGCCAGTTAATCGTCCGTCTTTTACCAGCAGAGGTAGATGCCGCAGTGATCAAGGTTCTCTCAGCCAAACACAACCTGTTTGCTGCAGGGGACAGTGCCATTGTGCCAGATGGCTGGAAGACCACCCACCTACTCTTTAGCCTGGGAGCTGTATGTCTAGACAGGTAACCTTGGTTCTCACTCACCCGCCACCCCCACACCACTCACTGTGGTGTCCATTTAGGTCAGAGGACTGACTGGTGATACATTTTAGGTGCTACAGTGCTGTTGTCTGAGAATTTCCTTTGGCCATAGAATTGGTTTAATGGAAATGCTGTCATTCCACATTAAACGGCTGAGCCTCAGCACTGCCTGCTGATTTAACACTCTGATGATTCATATTCTGGTGTATTTTTCCCTGAGAGCATTAAATGTAGGTCTTGGGGTTAAAAATCTATTTCCTATGAAAGGAACATAACCACAATACCAAATTTGGAAAACAGAAATGAAGAAAAAAAGTCAGCCTAATTTGCACCATATTAATACATCAGCTATTTTAGTGTATTTACTCCTGAGCCATTTTTCTGTGTGTAAATGTGAGTGTGCATGTGTGCATATGCACAGGTGACTTTTTATAGAGATTTTTGAAACCATGCTTGTAGGCTACCAACCAGCATCATTCTGTAGTTTTAAAACTAATTAATGAGTAGCCCTTTGCCTCTGGGTCTGCCTTGGAGTATAGTGAGCTGTAACCAGTTGAGTTTGGAGCCTTGTGCTCTGCCACCTAATGGAGCTCTTGCCTTCCAGCCGGGTGGGCCTAGACTGGGCATGCTCCATGGCCGAGATCCTGCGGTCACTCAACAGTGCCCCTCTGTGGCGAGACGTCATTGCCACCTTCACAGACCACTGCATCAAGCAGCTGCCTTTCCAGCTGAAGCACACCAATATCTTCACCCTGCTGGTGCTGGTTGGCTTCCCTCAGGTACAGCAATCAAAGGTCTGCTCACCCCCTCCAGTCCTCATCATGCTTATCAAAGACTTTGTGACATATATACATACTGGTATATTTTTTCAAGATTGTGGGGTGGGGTGGTTTGTTCAACTTGCTTTTTTTCTTTGTGTGTGTGTGTGTGTGTGTGTGTGTGTGTGTTTTCTGGTGGTGCCAAGGATTGAACCCAGGGCCTCACACTTTCAGCTTGCATTTTTAAGTTTACCCATTCGATTCATTTTACTAACTGGTAATTGGCTTTGAGTAATGAATAACTGTAATGTATTAAATTACAAAGAACGTCAAAAATTGTCTTTCCCTCTGGCATTTATCTTGATCTCATTTCTAATCTTCATGTCTCTCAACTGACTGAGACAAAGAGGGCTATAAAAATATGGCATGTCTGCAGGGGCAAATCAATTCTGTGCTAGGTGTGTGCGACATCCTTTGGACTTAGAGATGAAAAGAGCCCTATCCTTAAGTGCTTGTTGAAGTCTGAGGCACAAGAAAAAGGCCCGAATTTGTCCGTGAATACTCTTTCCTGTCTCAGTGTGCTGTTGAGTTGCCTTTTCTGTCTCTCTCTCATGTTTTAGGTTCTTTGTGTGGGGACCCGCTGTGTTTATATGGATAATGCCAATGAGCCCCATAATGTGATCATCTTGAAGCACTTTACTGAGAAGAACAGGGCTGTGATTGTGGATGTCAAAACTCGGAAAAGGAAAACAGGTTTTCAACATATTTACTTTTTCTAAGAATGGAATAAATTGTCTAATCCTTGCATGCCCTAAAATCAATGAAGATATTATGGTTCTTTCCCCTGCATATGACTTCTTTAGAAAGCAAGTTCCCAAGCTACTTTTTCTTGATCTCTGAAATAATGTGATAGAACATAATTTTGAAGGCCCTTTTCCATGCTATAATTTTGTGAATATAGCTCTATTTTTTCAATTGGACAAATATTTAGGTTTTGAACATTTCATTTTACCATTTGCAGGTATCATTTGTTTTCTTATGGGTAATTTTAACATAAAGCCAGGTGACTGCACACTGAAGATTATGTTGGTATCAGTATGACTTTTCATTTTGTTTTACTTAAAATATTACAACTTAAGTTCTTTTGACTTAATTTTCAAACCCCAAACAGTATGGAGTATCTAACCATTATGTTCTCCGTTCACCTTCTGAAGTAATCAGCTTTCTCCTCAGCTTTAGCACTAAGCAGTGCCAGTGTTGTTAGAATATTTTTTAGTTGTAGTTGTTGATGGACCTTTATTTTATTTATTTATTTATTTTTATGTGGTGCTGAGGATTGAACCCAGTTCCTTACACATCCTAGGTAAGCACTCTACCACTGAGCTACATTCCCAGCACAATCTGAGGGTTTTTTTCGCATATGAATGAATGTTCAGTAGTTCCCCAACCATTTGTTGAGCAAACTGTCCTTTCTCTATTGAGTTATCTTGGTACCTTTGTTAGAAATTAATTGGCTTATATGCATATATCTATTCATATAAGATTCTATTATGTTTCATTTTTCTCTATGTCTGTCTTTTACATCAGTACAACACTCTCTTGACTATTTTATTCTACTAAGACTTGAAATCTGATTCTTTAACTTTTTCTTCTTTTGGAAAATTTCTTTGGCTCTTCTAGATTTTTGCCTTTCTACATAAATTTTAGAATCAGCTTGTCATTTTGTATTAAAGAAATTGCTGGTAATTGACTGGCATTGCATAGAATCTATAGATCTGCTTTGGGAAAATTGACTTCAAACTCTGAGTTTTTTTGATTCATAAGCATGATATATATCTCTCCATTTATCTAGGGAATAAACCTTCTCTCATTCCTGAATTGGTAATTTGTATCTTTTCCTAGACAGACATTTATTATTTGATTTTTTTTTCAAAGGATTTTTTTTCCTCTTTTTTTCCTTCCTTCCTCCCTTCTTTCCTTCTTTTTTTCCTTTCTTCCTTCCCTCCCTCCCTCCCTCTCTTTGCCAGGAGCACTTAATAACTGAACCACATCCCCAGTCCTTTTTACTTTTTATTTTGAGACAGGATCTCACTGAGTTTCTTAGAGCCTTGCTAAGTTGCTGAAGCTGGCTTTGAGCACATGTTCTTCCTGCCTCAGCCTCCCAAGTCACTGGGATTACAGGCATGCACCACTGAGCCTGGCCCTCTTGTTTTCTGTTTTATTAATTTCTGCTCTGATCATTATTCATTTCTCTGTTTATGCTTGTTGTGGGCTTAATATCTTTTTTTGCTTTTTCTGACTTCTTAAATTGGAAATCATCACTGATTAAAGAACTTTCTTCTTTGCCCTAGCATCTTACTGCTATGAATTTCTCTCTATTTGTGGTTTTAACCATATCTCACAATTTTTGATATGTTATACTGTCATTTTCATTAAGGTCAGAATATTTTCTATTTTGTAATTTATTATTTGCTCTGTGGATTATTTTAAAGTTCTTTCTGTTATTGATTTCAAGTTTAATTCCTTTATAGTCAGAGAGCATACTGAGACTATTGCAGCTTAGTTTTGGGTTTAAAATTTGACTTTTTTGTGAAGGCTTCATGAGCACTTGAAGAAAATGAGTGTACTTTGTTGTTGGTGGAGTGTCTCACAGATGTTATTTAGATCAAGTCAATTAACAGTGTTATGAAAGTCTTCCATACCCTTTCTGATCTTCTACTTTTTCTAACAATTACTGAAAAAGACTGTTGAAAGTATTGTTCATTCTCGTTTCATTATGAGGTGTTCCTTTTTATCCTTGATGATAGTTTTTTTGTTGTTGTTTGTTTGTTTGGTACAGAGATTGATCTCAGGGGCATGTGACCACTCAGCCCATCCCCAGCCCTATTTTATATTTTATTTAGAGACAAGATCTCACTGAGTTGCTTAGTGCCTCACTTTTGCTGAGGCTGGTTTTGAACTCACGATCCTCCTGCCTCAGCCTCCTGAGCCACTGAGATCACAGGCGTGGGCTACTGCTCCTGGCAATAATAGTTCTTGTTCCGAAATCTACATTAATATTTGTATAAGGTATCCTGCTTTTTTGAAAAAAAAAAAATAGCACTTGCATGACATGTCCTTTTACTTTAAACATGCATGATTTGACATTTAAAATCAATCTCTTGGTCCACCAGGCCCACTGCCTCCTTGGGGCTACAGCTCTTGGCATGCCCCACACTCTTTTAGCCCTCTGCCTGCCTCTCCTTCTTCTCCTCCCAGAGCCATAGAAGTGGAGCCACTGCCACAGTCACAGCCACAGGCACAATGGCATCTGAAGTTACAGAGAATGATGAAGTTATCAAAGTTTTTCATGATAGAAATTAAGGAAATCTAATACATAAGGGAAGATCAAAAAAAAGAAAGCAGTTCTCTTCTGTTCAAACAATGACAAATGAAAAATAATTGTAGAGAAGGAAAGCAGATCTTGGTGAGTGACATTGGTAATACTGTGGAGGACCCCTGCACATCTTTTGTGAAGTTACCTCTGAATGACTACCAATGTGCTTTGTATGATGCCACGTACAAAATGATTCTAAAAAAGAAGATCTAGTATTTATATTCTGGGTTCCTAAAAGTGCACACTTAAAAAATAGGATTACTTATGGTAGCTCTAAAGATGCCATTAAAAGAAATGTACAGGTATTAAACACAAGTGGCAGGTAAATTACTTGGATGATATTAAGGACCAGTCAACACGTGAAGAGAAATTGGGAGGCAATATAATAGTTTCACTTGAAGGAAGGCCATTTATCAAATGACTATCAAGTGCCATCTGGATCTTAAGGGGTCTTCATTTCTCCAGCTCAGTCTGTTGGAGAATGTCAGCATTTGGTGTTTCTTGTTTTTTGTTTTTTTCCCTTTCCACTAGGCCCTTGCAACACAATGAGTGAAAGAGAGATTTGTTTAAGCAGCCTGCCAGTGATTGCCAGACTCTTTAATATGGTTACTTTTATGTAGAATCTACGCCCCCCAAAAATAAATAAATAAATAATATGAATTTCTTATAGATAGTGCATTGTGAAGGGGTCTTCTTTTTTAATCCAATCTGATAATGCCTGCCTTTCTCTCCCTCTCTCCCCCTCTCTGTCTCTCCACCTATCCCACCCCCCAGTCCAAGGAATTAAACCCAAATATGCTTTACTACTTAGCTACATCTCCAGCCCTATTTGTTTATTTTTTGAAACAGGGTCTCAATTAGTTGCTGAAGCTGGCCTCGAATTTGCAGTCTTCCCACTTCATCCTCTGTAGTAGTTGGGTTTACAGGTGTGTGCCACCACATCTGGCTGATCCCTATCTTTCAATTGAATTGTTTAAATTTTACATTTAATGAAGTTATCGGGTTGGTTGAGTTTAAATCTACTATCTTCTTACTTATTTTCTATTTGTCTCATCTATTCTTGGTTCCCTTTTTTCCTTCTGCCGCCTTTTGGAGTTTTTATTTTTTATTTTTTGGTACTGGGTATTGAACCCAGGGGCACATTACCACTGAGCTACATCTCCAACCCTTTTTATTTTTTGAGACACAGCCTTGTTAAGTTGCTTAGGGCTTTGCTAAGTTCCTGAAGCTCGTCTTGAACTTGTGATCCTCCTGCCTCATCCTCCCGAGAGACTGAGATTACAGGCATGGGCCATCACCCCCTACTTGCTTTATTCTTCTTTAATGATTCCATTTTATCTTCACTACTGGCTTTTTAACTCTGTTTCTTTATATTCTTTTCAATTTTTCTTTTTTCGGTGCATACTACATAAGCACCCTACCCTTGAGCTACAGCCCTATCTCTAGCCCTACTTCTTTCTTTCTTTCTCTTTTATTTTTAGTGGTTGCGATTGTTCTAAGGTTTATATTGTACAATTTTAACTCATCCATAGTCTACCTTCAAATATTATACCATTTCCCAATAAAGTAAAAATATTATAACATTTATTTCCATTTCTTGCACTCATTCTTTGTGTTATTGTTGCCACACATTTTATTCTACATGATATAAATGTCACATTTTTTTCCTTTAAAAACATTAGAAACTTAAAAAATAGGTGGATGCAGTGGTGCATGCCTGTAATCCTAGTAGTTCAGGAAGATCGAAAGTCCAAAGCCAGCCTCAGCAACTTAGTGAGGCCCTAAGCAATTTATCAAGACTCTGTCTCAAAATTTTAAAAAGGGACTGGGATGTAGTTCAATGGTTAAGTACCCCTGGGTTCAATCCCTGGTACCAAAAAATGTATATAAATTATATCTTATGTTTAGTTACATATTTAGTATTTCTAGTGTTCTTCATTCCTTTATATAGATTCCATTTTTCATGTAGTATCATTTTTCTTTGGCCTGAGAAATTTCACATAGCGTTTCTTAAAGTGGAGATTTGCTGCTACAGAATCTCTTAGTTTGTCTAGAGATGTTCATTTTTACCTTATCTTTGAAAGATTTTTTCTGGGTAAAAATTTCTCATCTGAGAGTTTTCTTTGAATACTTTAAAGAGGAGTTGCTCATTGTCTTCTAACAAGCATAGAATTTTGGCATGAAGTCTTCTGTCATTCTTTTTTTTCCTCCACAGTTTTTTCTTAGTGCATATAGTTGCACATATGATGGGATCTGTTACATATTCATGCATAAAATGTAACAATATAATTTGGTCTGTGTCACTCCTCAGCATACCCCCTCCCTTCCTTCAAATGTTTTTTTCTATCTTCTCCCAGGACATCTTCACTCTATGTGGTGAAAAGACAGAATAGTTCCAGCTTTGTTTGAACTTCAGAAATTGTTATGCTTACTGCTTTTTGGTATTTATTTCTCTTGCCCTAGATAGTTTCCTTTCACATATATGCAGGTCAATATTAGCCTAAGACTTATGAGGAACCCTCTTGAATCTCTAAAGCTTTCTCCTACCCACCTCTCTCTCTCTCTTTATATATATATTTTTTAATATTCTGCCCCATAAATTCTAGCTGCCTTGACTTCCCTAAACTTCAGTCTCCATCTCCTCAGTTCCTTGAGATTTCTCCACTCTTCTGGGACATCTGCTTCCTGCCCTGCAGCCTTGAAATTGTCTCCAGATTTCTGGTGCACTGAGGAGCTAATCTAGTTTACATCCTTTTTCTCAGGGATCTTAATCCTGCACTACCTATTGCCCAATGTTTGAAAAACATTGTTTCATATGTTTTCCTCATTGTTCTAGCTGCCTAAGTGGAAGAGTGAATCAATTATCTTACTCCATCCACCTTGTTTGGAAGTGACAATCTCACATACTGTTTTTTGAAGATGACCCACTTGGCATTGTGAATTATCCCTCTTATTTGCTCAGTAGATGGGTGACCCAGTACCATTTTTGTGCTCACCTTCAAGATGGCCTTAAATATAGTGACTACAATTGAGCCCAGGAGATTGTTTCTGCATTTCTTCTTTTAATAAGGCATATACTCTAGAAGAGATTTGGCTACAGGAAGCATTAACTATACTTTTTCTGCCTTTTTCTTCCTGTCCGCTCTCTCTCTCTCCAGTGAAAGACTACCAGCTGGTCCAGAAGGGAGGAGGACAAGAATGCAGTGACTCTCAAGCCCAATTGAGCCAATATTCCCAGCACTTTGCCTTTATCGCCAGTCACCTTCTGCAAACCAGCATGGATAGCTATTGTTCCGAGGCTGTAGAAGCAACTTGGATCCTATCCCTGGCCCTCAAAGGTTTATACAAAACACTAAAGGTAATGGTGAGCCTCTTCCATTTCATAATAATTCTGGCTGTGATTTGACATCTGCAGGAGATTAACAAGGGAGAAATTCCATCTGATTTCAGTGAATGGTTAATCATAGGATCCTGATTATTTTTAGAAATGGTTGGGGCCTTACACAAAGATAAATAAAATTTTCCCAATAGATTTTTCTATGTTTTTTGTACTGTTTCATGAGCTAGGGTATTATGACTTCATGAGGACATGACCTTGGCAAGTGAGAACAAAAGACTTCCGAATGGCAGCTCCTCTGGTTCATTGTAGGAGCTGGGAGGAAAAATAAAGGGTGTTAGCATCCCATTGGATCTTTAAGCAACAGGGTTCGTCATTGGGGTAGAAGGAAGTAGACAAGTTAATGAGTTGGGTGATATTTGGTAAACTATTGACTAGTGTGGTCTTCTTGCCCTGGGGGTGCTGGTGGAGAAGAGGATCTTTCAAGGATGCATTTCAGCTCACTTGGAGTTTGTAGTCCCTTGACTCTGAAGAGTATTCAGTGGTAGAACTGGTGGCAAGGTCACAGAAGGGACTCAGAAACCACAGGAGACTGGACTTACCGCCCTGGGCCAGCCTTAATTTAAGGGTTTGTAGTTGTCAGGTTTTTTTGGTTTTTGTGTTTTGGTTTTATTGTTGTTGTTTTGTTTTGGGGTTTTTTTTGTTTGTTTGTTTGTTTGTTTTTTATATTTACTTTTAGTTGTAGTTGGACACAATACCTTTATTTTTTATTGATTTATTTTTAATGGGGTGCTGAGGATCGAACCCAGGGCCTCGCACATGTGAAGCGAGTGCTCTACCACTGAGCCACAACCCCAGCCCCTGTGTTTTGTTGTTTTTTTTTTATTCATGGCATTTATCACAATGTCTGATTGATTTCTTTGTTTACATTGTAGTAGGAACAGGAAAATAAACTCCTTTGGGGAAGAAATCTTTGAATCCTTCACTTATTAAATATTTGTTGAGCTTAATTGCCAAACAGAACTAAGTATGTAGTAGTGAATGAAAAAGGTCCCTGCACTCACAGATCTTCCACTTTAACCATCCAGAGGCTATAAGGAGCCTGCAAAGAAGACTGCCTTGGGCAGAAAAAGCCTTCTGAAGAGATAAAATTTGAGGTAATCGGTTAGAAGTCAGCCTTGGAAAACAGAGCAGGAAGAGTAGCAAGCTCCAGACCTTACAGAGGAAGAGGAATGATTGTCACAGAGGTGAAATAACAACCTCTGGGGCTTTGGAGGATGAGGCCAGAGAATCAGACAGGAAGCCTTGTCAACCATGATGAGGGGCTTGGGTTTTAGCCTCCACGGCATTGGGAAGCTCTGGGAAGGTAAAGCTGAGGGATATTACATATAGTTAAGTTTCAAAAATGTTTGTTGAATTAATGAATTAAAGAGTGAATGAGCAGACAGAGGGTTATGGTTAAGGTTCTTTCTACTGACTCTAGAATTTTCCCTGGAAGGTGAGTCTAGGCCACCAGAGTTGAGATTAGTCTCTAAGAAAAGCTTGCTTCTTTCCAATTGACCTTTATCTTCTTTACTCTGAAGTGGCAGTAAATCATTCTTTTTCTCTTTGGCAGGCTCATGGTTTTGAAGAAACCCATGCAACCTTTCTTCAGACTGATCTGCTGAAGCTGTTGGTGAAAAAGTGCAGCAAAGGAACCGGTTTCAGTAAAACATGGCTCCTCCGGGACCTGGAAGTAAGGGACAAAGATGGCTCCTGCTACTCCTGCCTGGTGCAAGTCTACAGGCCTAGAAGCTAGAAGCGAAAGCTTATTCTGGCTGCTTCTGCCCTGTGCACTATAATTCTTTACAGTTTTTAAAACTCTGCCTTGTTTCTGTCTTCCCTTTTGGAATTAGGAATTATGACACCTGTCCTCCCCTGTCAAGGAAAATGAATTTGATGTTTGTTCAAAGAACATTGAGAAGTATATTATGGAAGCACATAATTGACCATTATATCATGTAATAAAGTGTGCCCTTGAATTATTATTTCCCTTTTTAAAAAGTTCCTTGAACTAATCAGTTTCTAAATTTGTTCTCACTTATGTTTATTTTATGAGGGATTTCAGTTTATAATTTAATTTTATTGCTATTTCCCTGAGGCCTTAGATTTTTCTTAGTGGAGTTACTATGGTTCCCTGAGGACTTTCTGTGCCAAGTATGCACTCCAGGTGCAGGCATAGCTGCTGCTGCAGCAGGGGTAGTACACCTGCCACCCTTGGTGGCACAGAGGCCTGAACTGGAAGAAGTTATTCTGAGTACCAGAGGAGGTTGGCTTAGGGTTAAGAAAATATTCTAAAATATGAGAGAGCATTTTTTTTTTCCAATTTAAAAATGGGAAAGAGGGCTGGGGTTGTGGCTCAGTCGTGGAGCGCTCGCCTAGTGTGTGTGGGGCCCTGGGTTCAATCCTCAGCACCACATATAAATAAAATAAAGGTATTTTGTCCATCTACAACTTAAAAATATACATTAAAAAATGGGAAAGTTTTACCATTTATTTTATTTGTTTATTTATTTGTTCTTTTTAGTTGACATGACAGTAGAATGTGCTTTGACATATCATACCTGGAGTATAACTTCCCATTCTTATGGTTGTACATGATGTGGAGTTACATTGGTTGTGTATTCTTATATGAACATAGGAAAGTTATGTCTGATTGATTCTACTGTCTTTCCTATTCTCATCCTCCCACTTTCCCCCATATGAGAAAGCATTTGAACTCTGATCTTAGAGAATGTTTTAGAGTATTTTTGTTACTTAAACAATAGAACCATACTGCAGAAAATTTCAAAAATATAAAGGAAAGAAAAACTCCAGATTTCACTTTCAAACACAGCTACCATTAGCATTTTGTATATTTCCTTCTAATTTTTTTTCTACATGTCTGTAGTAGAAATGTAAATTTATATTGCACAATTCATATACTATTCAAATAAATTGAGGTCATATGACAGGCATTTTTCTCAGTTGCTATGCAGTTTTCATAGCTACAATTTTGGGCTTGACTTTGACATACTGGGGATTGAACCCAGGGCCTCATACATGCTAGGCAAGTTCTTTACCTCTGAGCTACATTCCCAGCCCTATAATCACTGTTTTTGATGGCTATATATGATACAGGAAGGTGCTTTGCAGTTTTTGGTTTGGTTTGTTTTGGTTTTTGCCTTTATTGATACTTCACTGACTGTATTTTGAATAGAACGTTTTACATATTTTATACTCTTCCTAAAGATGAATTACTGGGTCAAAGAATATGAACATTTTTATAGCCCTTTACAGTTTATCAGAACAAGTTTTGAAAGTATAATATCAGTTTACACTGTCATGGAAAAGTTAATAAACTTCAGAACCTCCATGGTTATTATTAGCATTTCTTCGATTTCAAGTGCAATTGAACACTTTTTCATGTTTCTGTACTAATTTTACATGTTTTATGTGAATTATAATGTCTTAAAAAGTTAAGTAAAATATTTTCTTCCTTTACATGGTTAAAGAACTGTGTTGTCTTCTCACCCACTGAAGATTACCTTTCTGCCCTACTTGATTTCCTCTCCATGTAGATTCTGTCCATCATGCTGTATTCCTCAAAAAAGGAGATCAGCACTCTGGCTGAACATGGAGAACTTGAACTGGATGAGCGAGGGGACCAAGAGGAAGAGGTGGAACGACCAGTCAGTAGTCCTGGAGACTCAGATCAGAAAAAGCTAGACCCTCTGGAAGGCCTGGATGAGCCCACCAGAATATGTTTCTTGGTATGTTCTTGGGTTATTGTGCAGATGGAGCATGGCTTTGGAGGTGTGGGTTCTTTTTGGTACAGGCTGAGCTTTAGCCTAAACATGAAATGCTTCAGTCTCATGTCTTTAGAATTCACTTGTTAAAGACTAAGTGTACATGTTATGCAGAATTGATCCAGAAAAATGGAAAAGTGCCAAAGAAATAGTTTTAAATGTTTTTAGTCGTGGACCCAAAAGCTGTCAATCCTCTCTCCCATAAAATACATATTCAATTTTACATATACTTATAAAATTTTGCATGTAATTTCCAGAATAAATAAAGCCCTAAGGCCTATCTATGAACTCCCAAATGATAGTCTCTTTCCCCTTCTCAGAAATACTCTTACTTTCTCACATTAACTACTTTTGTTTGGAATAATGTGAAATGAGTGGAACTTGGACTTCAGAGAATCTAACTATATGAAGAGTAAGCAGAGAGTGCAGAATATATACCAGAAAAACAGTGTTTAAAAAAATCTCAAAAGAAAGTATAGTTGGGGCTGGGGTTGTGGCTCAGTGGTAGAGCACTTGCCTAGCATGTGTGAGGCACTGCATTCGATTCTTAGCACAGCATATAAATAAATAAAAATAAAGGTCCATTGACAATTAAAAATTAAAAATAAATAAAGTATAGTGCTTAGGTTTGTGTGCTGGTTGTCAAACCTGAGTATGGGACAGCTACAGAGAAGCTGGCAGGGAATGACGAATATTAACTATTAGAATTGTGTGTTTTGTTGTCATCATCTTTTCTTTGAATTTACAATAATAATGTAAGTTTTATAGTTCATGTTTTCATGCTTTATAATTTTATGTGCTTTTTAAAATTACCTGTATAATATTCTTCAATCATAACCTGTAGTAACTTTTGAGATATGGTTTTTATCCCTTCTAATTTCAGATTCTCACTAACGTGTTGGAACACTGCTCATCGTTTCTCTTTTGCTTCCTCCTATGCTCTTAGATGGCTCATGATGCCCTCAATGCCCCTCTGCACATTCTCCGGGCCATATTTGAGCTGCAGATGAAAAAGACCGATTCTTTCTTCCTGGAAGTTCAGAAGAGGTAAGGGACATTTAATTGCACCACAGTGTGCCAAGTGAGACAGCAGTTGAGGGTAGGAGGATGAGCCAGCTGCTAGTGGGATCCAGAAAGAAGCCCTGCCAGGCCAGGCTCAGGAAGGATGCTGGTTTGTAGTTCTTTGTGGAGTCACGTGAAAGGTAACTGTGCTGCACTGCATGGATCACCAAGAAGTATGTGGTTGGCTTTCTTGGAAAAGGATACCTATGCAGTCAGCCTCTTAGAGCAAACCCATTTTATGGATGCAGTCACTGGGCTGTCTCTCATATGTGACCCCAATGAGCAGACAGTACAGAGGAGGCATTTTTGCTCAAAAGGGTTTTTTTTTGGTTTTGGATTTGGTTTTTCACCATTATAAATTATTTTCTTGGCTTTGTCTCAATAGTGATTATGTAATTAATAATGTTCCTTTCTCTTGGCCAAGAGGTTCAGAGGTTGTTCATGGGCTTAGCTCATCAATTTGTTTAGAACTTCATGTATCTGCAATCTGATCTCCTCCTCTATCTCCAGATCCTAATTTTAACTTCTTGAGTGTGTGTGTGTGTGTGTGTGCATGTACACACATGCACATGCATACATATATGGTCCTAAAAATGAATCCCAGGGCCTCACTCATGCTAGGCAAGCACTCTACCACTGGGCTGCACCCCCACCCATTTGACTTCTTATTCTAATTTATCACAAATTCTAATTTAATTTTTTATTCATGTTTCTATTCTATCATATATCTCTTTTTTATATATTGCCTTAAGTCCTTAGTGAGATGAAGCAGAGGCTGTGAGACGATGACTGTCAGGGATAGTTGAAGCTGCTATAACTTAAAAAGCAGGAATATTACAGATCAAGACAAATAGAATTTTTATTTCATGTAACAGTCCAGGGTTGGTGACAGTTCTGCCCCATAAAGTAATCTAGTGATCCCAAGGGTGTTATCCTCATGTGTGTAATCAAAGCTAGCTCATTCTCACCATCTCTGGGTCCATTTCAGAGGAAAGATAAGAGGGAGAGAGAGGAGCACATCTTTAGTCCAATTGTTTGAGGGTAGTCTCTGGATGGGGCACAATACCTCACTCACCTCCAGTTGGCAAGAATCTAGTTGCATGTACATCAAGCTGCTGGGGCTGGGCACCGTGTCTCTAGCTGGGTGACTGGGTCTCCTGCTAGAATTCCAGGGAACCTTGTTTCTAAAAGAGAAACAGAATAGATCCTGAAGGACAGTTTTTATTCTCTACACACATGAATGAATAAATGCTGTGACTCCAATATATAGAATATAGAGAGTAATACTGTAATTGCATACTTACCGGAAAATAGTCCTGATAACATTCTGACAAATTTGATTACAGGTGAAACTCTTGTCTTTGTACATTTGATGTACCCAACTTTGTGTATTTTTCCCTTCAGGTTTGATGGAGATGAGCTCACCACAGATGAAAGGATACGGTCTCTGGCTCAGAGGTGGCAGCCCAGTAGAAGTTTGAGACTGGAAGAGCAGAGCGCCAAAGCTATGGATACAGACATGATTATCTTGCCATGCTTGGTATGTCACTCACCTTGGGAACAAAGTGTCTGCACCCCCCTCCCCCACTGTGAAAAGGCCAGACCTTTGTAACAGTGGTCTTGGCTTTGTAGTCCTGGCCTGCACGCTGCAACCAAGCCACTGCTGAATCAAACCCTGTGACCCAGAAGCTGATCTCCAGCACGGAGAGCGAGCTACAGCAGAGCTACGCCAAGCAGCGCCGTAGCAAGAGTGCTGCCCTCCTGCACAAGGAGCTGAACTGCAAGAGCAAGAGGGCTGTCCGGGACTACCTCTTCCGAGTGAATGAAGCCACAGCTGTCCTCTATGCCCGCCATGTGCTTGCCTCCCTGCTAGCCGAGTGGCCCAGGCATGTGCCAGTGAGCGAGGACATCCTGGAGCTAAGTGGCCCTGCACACATGACCTATATTTTGGATATGTTCATGCAGCTGGAGGAAAAACACCAGTGGGAGAAGGTAGTTAAACATATTAAGCTTATGCAGTCATCCTCCAGGCTCTGCCCTTTCCTCCCTATCTCAGTGGCCCCTGTCTCAGTTTGGATAGGCTTCTGGAGTTAGTTCCCGACAGATATGAAGCAGCAAAGGTAGAGTCACTGTTGATTCTCCCATAGATTGACTTGGAGCAGAGTTTACAATCTAGCACAGACTTGATGCTCAGAGAATGTTGGCAATAGTGGTCCCATGAAACCTGCCTGGGTTCTGCCTCTGTTGTTTACACCTACACATCATACAACTCTCCTAGGTAGTCTTTGTGTTTTCTTGTCCCAGAGTCTCACATAATACAAAGTCCAGAGGACAGGGTTAGTGAGGACTCTCTGGTAGCCTGTTTCCATGATATGGGAAGACAGAGGTTTTTGTCTTCTGTTTTAAAGCATCATTTCTAGAATGTCAACTCAGGTTAGATGCTCTGTTCATACCTGTGTTACATCATGACCCCAGATATCGTAGGTGGAGATCAAGCCAGAGCGGCTTTTCCAAGACTCCTGGCCTCTGGGTAGCAGAGCTGGAGTCTCACCAGGGTCTCTGTCCAATTCTCTAATCTTAACTTTCAAGCTGAAGGCCATTTTCTGTTGTTTTTAAACTAAGTCTTCAATTTGTTTTTTAAAGTAATGCTGAGTGAGAAGCCTCTCTTCCACTTCGTACTACCTAGAAGCAGAGGACCCAACATAGCAGAAGACATCCTGGCCTAGAACTCAGCAGCCCTGGCTACTTCTTTCAGCTGAATCAGAAAGTTTTGTCACCATCTTTCCATTTCAAATGCAGAAATCTCAAGTCACATTTAGTACTTTTCCATTCTATCCCCCTGGCCTACATGCACGTGGTGTCTTCTAACCCTTAGTTCATCCATCTAAGAATACCACCAGTTTCTAAGTCTCTTCTAGGTCATTTGCCAGTGACACAGCCCTGGAGATGCTTGCAGTTCTCTAGTTATATTTATTTTCTGGATACAAGGGAATTATTATGCCCCTAGTAGTCCTTCTCTTGGACATGTCCTTCCTCCATTCATATCCTATGGAGCTACTCACTCTATACTTCATCCTGGCCATTAATCACTGTGTGCTGGAATTACTTAACCAGAGGTTCCTCTACCTGCTCAGCTAGTATCTCTTTGGGGGCCAGGATCATCTCTGATTGGTTTTATTAGTTCTTTCAGACTTCTTAGAAGTAGCATTTTTCTGAAAAGACTTCAATATTTTGATTTACAGCAGAGACCTGGTTGAGTTAGAAGTGGCCAATGGGTTGGTTTTGCGGGGAAAGGGTGGCAGAGACTTGTTTTGGATCCAGGATGATGCTAGAACCTTTGGGTGGACCTTGGGCCAAGGTAGGCTCTCCCTCCTTCCTCCTAAGGCCATTGGCAGGTCCTGCCCTTAGTTGCCTTGTGTCCCACCAGATCCTACAGAAGGTGCTGCAGGGCTGCCGAGAGAACATGCTGGGGACCATGGCCCTGGCTGCCTGCCAGTTCATGGAGGAGCCAGGAATGGAGGTGCAAGTGAGGGAATCGAAACACCCCTATAACAACAATACCAGCTTTGAGGTATGGCCTGAGCAGTTCCCTCACGTCCTCCCTCAGTAGCTCTTCCCTTCATAGCCCTGACAAAGAAAGTGCTTCCTTCTGCACCCTGCTGTCTCTTCTCTGAAGCTGAGTCTCCCTTCTCCTCACCTTCCTTGTCTTAGTAGGGGGAAAATGGCCCTCTGGCTCCAGGAGGGAGTTTACTTTTTCCCACACAAGCTCCTCAGAGTAAATCCTTGGCTTCTGGTGGCAGTGAGTGTGTGGCTCTAGTTTAGCCTTGCTCTTCAACTGTCTCCTGGAGACCTGGCCACACCTTAGTGACTCCAGCCCCATTTTTAATTACCAGAACCAAAAAGCCTCATCTTTTCCACCCTTAATTTGTATCTAAACAGAGAGAGAGGAATTTGGATGAACCAGGGGTGGGGCAGCCTCAATTATTCTCAACAATAGCACGTGCCATTTTTCAGCCCTTTAGAAATGCTGGAGTTGGCAAGACCTAAGCTTCCGAGTGGAAAGCATCCTACAGCAACAGGGTGGGTGCCGAAAGCTGGTTTAGAACTCACCTGCTGCTCAGCTGAGATGTTTTGCAGTAGTCCACCTCACCCTCTCCGTCCAAGCTTCTTCTTTACTGGGCTCCATTCCCACTCCCCAGACCTCACAGAATCTCTGATCAGCCACCAAGTCGTGCCCCATAGAGTATCATACTGTCTTCCCTGTCTCCCCGCAACTGTCTTCTCCTTCTGTGGGGTTCCTGCTGCTGCTCCTTCCTGACTCCCCACCTCTGGTCTGGCCCCAGCCCAGCCTGTCTCTAAGCAGTTGTAGAGTGACCCTTCTTTAGTCAAGACCAAGGCTTTCTCCTTTCTACGGCACACCCTGCTGTCCAAAGAGAGCCTGAAGACGCCAGACCTTTCCAGTGCTGCTCCTTTCCTGAAGACTCCCCAGTGTGTTCATGTGCCCCTTTCTCCTGATAAGTTTCTCCTTTGTCTTTGTTTTTCACAACAACCTGACCACCCCTACACTGGACCCTTTTCTGCCTGTCCTGCTGTGCCCTACTCTGCACCACACTGCAGTCTTTGTGTTCTCCATGTCCCAGCTGGACTGAGAGCCCCTGGAGGGCAGGACTCTGACTTACTCATTCTCATACCCCCAGTTGCTATGACAGTCACAGTGGTACCCAGTGGTCAGTAGTGATGGAAGCATTCTTTGTCACTCCTCCCTAGGATAAAGTTCACATTCCTGGTGCAATCTACCTCTCAATCAAATTTGACCCTCAGTGCAACACAGAGGAAGGCTGTGACGAATTAGCCATGTCTAGCAGCAGTGACTTTCAGCAGGATCGACACAATTTCAGCGGGTCTCAACAGAAATGGAAAGATTTTGAGCTTCCAGGTAGTAAAAAAAAATACTCAGTCATATAGACTCTTCACATGAAGGCTTTAAGTGTAATACTGAGAAGGGAAATTATTGGAGGATTTCAAATTGAACTTAATACATTCATTGGCAACACCTCAGTTGCCATTCCCTGTTGCTCCTGTTTCCTGATGTGTCTTTGATTCTTTGTGACCCAGGAGATACTCTGTACTACCGATTTACCTCTGACATGAGCAACACTGAGTGGGGCTACAAATTCACCGTGACAGCTGGACACCTAGGGCGATTCCAGACAGGTGTGTGCTCTACTCTTTCCGTTCGTATAGTTTGCTGGCCAGGACTTTCTGTAGCTGTTAGTGGCATCGTGTCACTGATCTTCATTAACTTTAAAGCAAGTACTTTTCTCTAAGGCTTCCCAAAGGTATCTCACAAACTTCATGCCTGCCTTTCTTAGATATGATATGTTTAGCTAATTGTAAACGTGAATGGTCAGATAAAAGAGCCATCTGTTGAGACCAAAATAAGACTCTGGTTCCCTTGGAATTTGCCAAGACATTTTGTAAAAAATGATAAACTGAGAATGCTGTTCCTGTTTTTCCTGTATTTTTACAAAAAGCTTAGTTTCAGCTAAAATTTTAATGATCACAATTATTTTATCCTATTTATTAAAACCTGTGCAGTTTATAATATATTATTTTTATAAACTGTTTATAAAATTTATAATTCTTAATGTACTTAATTGTTAGAGTTGGTTTTTAAAATACTTGTGTTTTGGGGGATTGGCCAGGGTTCGAGATTTTGAAACAGATGCTGTCAGAAGAAAGGGTCGTGCCTCATCTCCCATTGGGCAAAATTTGGGAATGGCTGGTGGGCGTTGCTTGTCGCCAAACTGGTCACCAGCGACTAAAAGCCATCCACTTACTTCTGAGGATTGTGCACTGTTGCACCCACAGGTAGGCTCCGAGTCATTTGTTGGCCATATGGATTGCAGATGTCTCCTCCCACCCTATGGCTTGCTTTTTTTCTCTCTGTTGGTAGTGTCTTGATAAAAAGGCTTATGTAATTTTAATGTCTTCCATTTCATCTATCATTTCCGTTAGTACTTTGGGTATCCTGTTTAAATAATTTTTGCCATACTTAAAGGTCATGAAGATATCTCATATGTTACCTTCTAGAAGCTTGTTTTTCCTTGCACACTTTGCTCTATAGTCCACCATACAGGTCTCCACTTGTTCTTCAGAGATCACTTTTTCCCTCACCCGCTTGCAGCACTACCCTTGTCCACACATGCATAAGTCTGTTTCTGTTCACTCTTGTTTCTTTGGTCTTTTGGCTATCCATCTGCCAGTATCACACTGTTTAGATTATAGCTTTATAATAGAGATAACAGAGTTACATATCTAAGAGTATAAGTCCTTCACTTAGTTCATCTTCATGATTATCTTGAGTTTTTTGGTAGCAGGGATTGAATCCAGGGGGAGTTAACCACTTAGCCACATCCCCCACCTTTTTCTTTTCTGAGGCTGACTTTGAACTTGTGATTCTCCTACCTCAGCCTCCTGAGCCACTGGGATTACAGGTGTGTGCCACCATGCCCCGCTGTCTTGGATATTTTTTTTAATATTTATTTTTTAGTAAAAGTAGTTGGACATGATACCTTTATTTTATTTATATGTGGTGCTGAGGATTGAACCCAGGGCCCCGCACGTACTAGACAAACACTCTACTGATGAGCCACAACCCCAGCCCCTATCTTAGGTATTTTTAACCTTGTGCACTTCATTTTACAATCAGTTTGTTAATTTCTTCGTGCTTCCATACCTGCATATACATACACACACACACACACACACACACGAGCACGCACGCACATTTTCACACATGCATACCTGTCTCACCTAAGGAAAATTTTTTTTTTTTTTTTTTTTTTTTTTTTGCAGTACTAAGATTGAACTCAGAGCTTTCACATGCAAGGTAAGCACTCTATCATTGAGCTATACCTCAAAGCACCCTAATAAGATTTTGATGGACTCTATAGATCAATTTGAGGAGAATCAAGTCCTCTAATCCACAACCATTATATCTTCCGCCATATTTAGTTCTTCATAATATATCATAGTTTTCTTTTTTTTAATATTTATTTTTTAGTTGGACACAATATCTTTATTTATTTATTTTTATGTGGTGCTGAGGATCAAACCCAGGACCTCGCATGTACTAGGCGAGTGCTCTACCGCTGAGCCACAATTCCAGCCCCTCATAGTTTTCTATGTAGACAACTTGCACAACATTTTTTAAAATTTATTTCTAGGGTTTAATGTTTTTGATGCTATTATAATTAGTAATTTAAACTTATTTTTGTTTTTGCTGAAATATGCATATCTCAGCAAAAGACTAAACAATTTGATATATATTTATATATTGCCCTAATATCTAGTAACCTTGATAAAATTTTTGTTTGTTCTTTTTTTGTGGTACTAGAGATTGAACTGAGGGGCACTCCACCACTGAGCTACATTCCCAGCCCTTTTTGTTTTTTATTTTGAGACAGGATCTTTCTAAGTTGTCCAGACTGTCCTGGACTTACAATCCTCTTGCCTCAGCCTCCCAAGTAACTGGGATTACAGGTGTGTGCCACCATACACAGTTTACATTTTTTTATTCTAAGAGTGAGTGTACAGGGCTGGGGATGTGGCTCAAGCGGTAGCGCGCTCGCCTGGCATGCGTGCGGCCCGGGTTCAATCCTCAGCACCACATACAGCAAAGATGTTGTGTCCGCCGAAAACTAAAAAATAAATATTAAAAATTCTCTCACTCTCTTTAAAAAAAAAAAAAAGAGTGAGTGTACATGTAGATAAAACAGTGCTCAGTCATGTCGTGTACATTTTATATTTAATTCTTAGAAACAATTTTTTGTCTTTTACACTAGCTGGTACCTCCAATATAATGTTGAATAGAAGTAGGAATTGCAGGCATTATTTGCCTTATTCTTCCTCTCACAAGAAAGGTGATGGACCCCCATCTGTTAGGAATTCCATTTTCCTGCATCTTTCTGTCATTTTTAAGGCATATAGACATATAGAATGCTAGCCAAAATAGGCTGATGATATTTGGAATAAAAGGTTGTCTTCTGTTGTCATATAGAGTTGCTGTTTCAGAAAAACTTTATTCCCGCTGAGGTTGTAGTCCAGTGATAGAGTGCTTGCCTCGCATGCATGAGGCACTGGGTTCAATCCTTAGCACCACATAAAAGTAAATAAAAATAAAGATATTGTATCCATTTACAGCTAAACAAAATTAGAAAAAAAAAAAAACTTTATTCACTGGACAGGGTGACACATACCTGTAACGTTACTCAGGAGACTGAGGCAAGAGGATCATAAGTTTGAAACCAGCCTCAGCAACTTAGTGAGACCCTAAGCAATTTAGTGAGACCCTGTCTCAAAATAAAATTTTAAAAGGCTAGGGATGTAGTTCAGCGGCAGAGCGTTTACATAGCATGCATAAGGCCGTGGGTTCAATTCCCAATATCACCAATAAATAAATAAAGGACTCTCCAATTCAGGTAAGAAAAATGACAGCTCATGAAGTCAGCCATATGGTGGTGTCAGGGAGGGAGAGAGGGAAAGCTAGACATGGTTGCTGTTACCACCATGTCCTCATATGCAGGCATCAAGGTTCTCTTAGCCCCATGTGGACTTCCAATGAGAGCTATTTGGGTGAATACATCTGTAGTCTGAAGTCTGGCAGAGCTGTAGTTTGCAGGTCTTTGCCAGTCTTCTTCCAGTAGAGACACTCCTGCACTCCTCAAGGGAGCTCCCAAGATACCTTGCCACCCTTGGCTGTTTGCTCCTTAGAAAGTTAGAGATATGCTGGCCTGTGAGCTTGGCCTAGAGGCCAAACCAGAGAAGTACCCCCAGGGGAGGGAGGCCAGACTAGTTGGGTGCCTTTATCTCATATTCCTAGTGCTTTCCTAAAAATTAGCTGGAAAGTGTCTCTATAAAGTCTGGGATGTGACTCAGAGGAAGAACACTTATCTAGCATGCTTGAGGCCCTGGGTTCAATCCTCAGTGCTGTAACAACAAAAAAAGGAAAAGACACTGTCTCTATAAATCAAATTAAATTGCATTTTCCTGTTTGCTTATTCCTCTGAGGGAAAACTGTTGACTTAAGATACCACTTAAGTGGACAGAATTCTTTTTCAAGTCATAAGAGAAAAAGCAAAGAGAAAAGGCAAAATCATTACGTGTGTGTATGTGTGTGTGTGAGAGAGAGAGAGAGAGAGAGAGAGATCATATAGTAAGCCCCAGAATATTACTGATTTTCTGCTTTTCCTTCTCTGAAGAATGCTGAGCTAGAATCACAGCACACCCTCCACTGAAACACAGGCCCTGGATTCTGTTCTCCTCAGGGGTCTGAAAAGGACTCTGCTTTTCTTAGGCACTCTCTGGTTGAGCAACCTTGCAAGCAAATTTTCTGTGTTTTACAAGCCTAGCATCAAAATAATGGTTGCTGTCATGATATTTTAAGTAGTTCTGTTTTTCACTTTTAAATTATCTTTTGTGTTTGTGGTGTTACATCTTGCTTTCTTTCACTTAACATTTGTCTTCAGATTTTCCCACTGTCATTGGAAGGTCTTCCCAACAGTCATTTTTAAAGATGCACACACACACAAAAAAATCAATAAGAGAGCTCATGTATAATGGCATAATTTGGCGTGAACATACTTTATATACAGAATTACGAAAAATTGTGCTGTGAATGGATAATTATGAATGTAATGCATTCCACTATTGTCATGTATGTAAGAAATTTTAAAAACAAAACAAAAAAAAGATGCACAATATAATTCTAGTCAACATACTTCAGGTTCTCCTGTTGCCTTGGGGTCGGTTTTAAGTTCTTTGCTTTTCCCTCTTTGCTGTTGGTGGCAGCTATTTTAGAGGGAGTGTGGGTGGGACTGTTTTATGATAGCTGTACCAGGAGTGGGAGAAAGGGTCTGAGCCGCAGTTGCCACCAGCTGTCCACTGTGGTTTGCCTGGTCTTCAGTTATCCAACCCTGTTTTGGACTCCCCCTGCAGTGATCTCTGTGACCTTGCACTGTTGAAGCCACTGTGGCAACTCTTTACCCACATGGAATACGGCCTGTTTGAGGACGTGACCCAACCTGGCATCCTCCTCCCCCTACATCGTGCCCTCACTGAGCTCTTCTTTGTCACGGAGAACCGCGCCCAGGTGAGGGTCCTGCCCACCTCTAGCCCCAAGGCCTAGGCAGGGAGGATGGTGCTCCATGTGTTTCTCCCCCTCTACTACTCAGAGCAGGACTCGGGCCATAGCTCCATTCTGGGCCACCGGCTGTCTGGCAGGCCTGCACAGGGAGGCCAGCGTGGCCCTCAATCTGGGCCCTCTCCTCTCCCTAGCCCTGGGAAGCCCTCGAGTCAGCACTGGATTGCTTATTTTGTCTGGCCTAAAGCCAAAGGGGGAGGGAGGGGTACCGCCTTAGACCAGCCCTTGACAACAAGGGAGTTTTGGAAAATCAAAGGAATGGAGTGGGTTCCTCTTCTCTCTTCCCTTGGGCACAATAGATTCATTGAATGTGCAAGATGAAAGGGCCTTTCAGATGCCTTTACCTCTCCCCCTCAGTCAGAAGAGACTGACCTGAGGAGGGGGATCCCTGCCTCAGGGCAGGACCAGCCCTGGAACCAGCCCCTGGCCTCTCCAATCAGTTTCTTTCCATGGCTCTAGAGCAAGTGGGACTTCTGTTTCTTGGGTGGGCTTTCCTTCCATCTGGTCATGCTGCCCTTGCTCACTGGCCATGCTTTCTCCACAGGAGCTTGGCTTGCTGCAGGAGTACCTGCTGGCCTTAACCACGGATGATCACCTTCTCCGCTGTGCAGCACAGGTACCTCCTTTCCCCTAGCAGAGCTGTCCCTGGGGCCGTGTCCCTGTGGTGGACATCATGATCCTACCATTGCCAGGGCAGACTGTGGTGCCCTAGGCAACAACTACTAACTTCCTGCAATTTACAGAGCTTGGTTCCAATTCAGTCCCTTCCCTCTGGTGCTCAGAGAGAGCAGGCGAGCCCCATTTATCAGTGTCACTTGTATTAAACTGTAGGGTCAGAAGACACTAGCAAGAATTTGTGTCTTTAAAACCAAAACAACTAGTGCCTTAAATTTAGTTTGGCTGATCCCTGAAGTTTCCACACAGTCAGATTTCAGATATTTTTGGATGTAATTTGCTTCCCTCATAGGAAAACTCTTCTTCCGACAGCTGTTTAGACTCAGGACCCCTCACACTTTTAAATTGATGAGGATCCCAGAAAGTATGCATCAAATACATTACTATATATTCTTAGAAATTAGATATTTAAATCTAGAAATTAAAATCAAAATTTAAACATTTATCAATTAATTTTTTAAATAATGGAAAACACATTTCATATTAATATGAGTTACTTGTTTTGTGAAAAACAACTCATTTCAATACTCTGGTTTGTTTTCTTTGAGACAGATTCTTGGTTGGTCTCAAACTCCTGTGCTCAAAAGATCCTCCCACCTCAGCCTCCCAAGTAGTCGGGACTCCACGTTAGGCTAACCATCATGCCCATCTTACAAAATAATTACTGAGAAGGATGGCAGTGTGTTCCATTTTTGCAGATCTCTTTAATGTCTGGCAGCTGGATTCTCATCTGTAGCTGCTCTCGGTCTGCCATAGTTTCACAGTTTAGCTGCTGGAAAACGGCACTATGTGCTCACAAGACAGTGAAACATGACCTTCATTACCCCAGAGGGGGCTGTGGGAATTCCCCAGCCTCAGGCTGCTCATGAAAACCTACAGACTGCGACCCACCCCCATAGCAGACAGGCAGGACACAGAAGCTCACAAGTCACACCTGGGTGGGCTTACAGCTAAAATTCCTAGCCAGAGCAAGTAAGAGCTGTATCCCTTGAAAGTCCTCTCTGCACACAGTCTTCCCAAAAGAAAGGGTGTCCCTGATCAATACAGTTTAGGAATGGCAACTCTGAAGCTAGAATTGCCTCAGCAAAGACTGAAGAGTCTGTGAGCATCACCTGCGGTTTGTGAACAGAGTAAAAATTCCTTCCCTCCTAACAGCCACCTGCCAACATTGCTGCTACCATGCTTGGTTTCATGACACAGTATAAGGAGTTTTGGTAGTTAACAGTTTGGGTGCTAGAAACTCAACATGGCAGCTTTCCTGTGTGCCTGGCTCTGGTACCTGCCCCTTATCCAGTCTCCATTGCCTCTTTGCCCTCCCTGACCCTCCCACAGCCCATCTAGTTTGTCACCAGTGGTCTTTGACCTGTCCCCCTATTCCCTCCTCCACCTCCACTCTCCCGCTGCCCTCAGCTTGAAGGACAGACTTGACCTGCCTTCCAGGGCATCTGCCTTCCCAACACTGTTTTTTGGACCCCTATGGGGTTCCCTGACCCTGGCTACTCACTTCTCATGTGTGTCGTGTCCTTCCTCTTCTGCACCTTTGTGCTGTTTCTCCCCAAAATACACCTCTCACTCTAGCCTGTAGTCCTCCAGGTGACAGGGACCACATCTGGCTCACCTTGGGAACCTATCCCTACTTCCTCAGTGCTCAGCATTCAGTGGATGAGTAAGTGAATGACCCTGGACCCTGGTGACAACTCTCTCCCTCCACAGGCTTTGCAGAACATCGCTGCTATCAGCCTGGCCATCAACTACCCAAACAAGGCCACCCGCCTCTGGAACGTCGAGTGTTAGCTTCCATGTGATATGCATGGGTCTCACTAACCTGTCCACAGGGGTTTAGAGCAGACATCCAGCCTCATTCAGGAAAACTCACATGGCCTCAACGCCCAGCTTTCCTCAAGCTCACTTCAGATGCCAGGCAGCCTCATCTCCGATAACTCCCTGCATGCAGGCTCGGTGTGTACACAGGTCATTGCACATGAGAACAAGCAACACAGGGCAGAGTGACTTGAGGAAGGGCAGGCAGGGGGCCCTTAGGAAGGCTGTTGAGAGACCAGCCTCCTCCAGGGGCTGTCTGTACAGAAGCTGATGGCATGGGAAGGCCTGGAAGCAGCCTCTCTGGAAAGGTTCTATCTCTGCTGAGCTGGAGCCGCCCATACTCATCATAGGGGGAAGGCACCAGCCGCCCAGAGCCACCCTCATAGTGAGACTGTAGCAGTGGCAGCTTGCCTGGGAGCCCCCCTTGCTTTTTCTTCTTGAGACTCAGAAATCAAAACCAAACCACAACTGGCACGAGCCCTGCCACCACTGATCCCCGAGCATTCCGAACAGGACCCATTGTCCTAGATCCTGCACTCCCAGCTGTCCCGGAGGACTCCCCGGTGAAAACAAGTGCCCTTGGGAACAGCCAGCAGGCCACCTTGCACGTCCGCCCCACACCGGCTCCCAGCACTTCAGATTTTTTCAGTTGGTTGTTCTGACATGTTTTAGTTTCCATCTCGCGTTTTCAGAACAGAACTGTATTGACTCACCGAGAGGGCCCCTAGGGAATGACCTGGGGCTTGGTGGCTCAGGGGACAAGCTGGTATGCTTGAAAGTAGCAGAGCTGGAGGAATCCTCTAGCCTCGGTACCTGCAGGCTTGCAGTGCTTCAGAGGAGGTCTTATTTTAGGAGAAATGATTTTATTTCTGCTTGATGGTCATGGTAGTCCGTCACGTCTGCCACCAGTGGGGCCCTGCATGGTTGCTTGGCTGTCACTTGTCTAGCAATAACTACATTAGTTCTAATGAATGCTCTTCTCAATTTTATTTTTATGGTTTTAGCTTTGCCCTGAAGTGCTAATTATTCTCTTTCCAGAGCCACACTTTAGAGTGTGAAGCTGGATTGGCATGTGGGCCATGGACCAGCCTCAGTGGCACTTGCAGGAATGAAGAATGCCTGAGGTGGCTATCATTCAAAGACAGGTGTCTGGGTCAGAGGCACATCACCACACAAGGCCGAACCAAGGAAGGGCCAAACATGACCAATTGTATTCACCATGGCGCACTGTGCCCCTTGGCCTCAATCTACAGAGGCAGATATGTGCAGCCGTGGGAGCAACTTCCTGCAAGGGCACTTTTGCTTCTAGCTGAGAAGACCAAGATGCATTGTCCTTCCCATCCTAGAATTAGTTTCTCAGCCAAGCCCCAGGGTACAGGGGAAATGGTCACAGAGTGGGAGGGGCTGGGATTCAGAGGGGACAGGAAGAAAGGCAGCAGTGACCTAAGGTGCAGTGACCTAAGGTGCACTGCCTTGATGTTGGGGGTGGGGCCTGGCCTGGTTCCCCCACTGCTGGGATGTAGGGAGTTCTATCCCCACAGGTTCGGTGGAAACCCCTTGCTCACCTTTTGCTCTTTACCAAACCAACCTTGCTCTGTGAGCTTCCTGAACACCAGAGAAGATCCATGGTCTGTGCCACCCTCACCCAAAAAGGTCTCAATACGGAGAAGTTTCTAGAGAGGGCAATCAAAGATCAAGTCTCAGTGCTTGGAGGAGAGGCCCCACTGTGGGCTCAGACTCAATGAGGGACAGCCTGGAAAATAGACAAGGAGATGGTGCCACCCATACCCCTCCACACCTTGGACTGACCTGAGTTTAACTGGGCAGATGGGAAGGGCAGGGCAGAGTCGCTCCCTCAGCAGTGCCCACCAGCTTTACTCCACCCTCCCACCAGGAAGAGCAATTGTAAATAAACGCTGGACTCCTCAGAGCTTCTCTCTGTTCGCCACTCTTGCTGTTTGGGTCTCTCTGTACTTCGTTTGCATAGAACAAGCCTAGGTTTTCCCTTCACACACAACTGCTGCCATCTGGCAGGGCCTCTCCTGGCCTGGCCTGACCTAGCCTCCCTACAGACCATCGCTGCCTCTGCTTCTGATCACCAGGTGGCGCCGTCGAGCCATACCCCACTTTCCTGGTCCCCAACCCAGAGCAGCAGAATCCCAAAGGACTTCCATCAAGGCCAACATCCCTGTGACCCTTTTTAAGAAGCAAGACTGCTGGAATGAGATAAAACTGGCAGGAATATGGTGTCGTGGAAACATGTGCCTAATCTATAAAGAAATTCTGTTCTAAATCATATATTGTACAGACACTGTTCCTAATGAGAGGAGTGACTTATTTTCATCATCGTTTTTAATTTGTTTTCTTACAGGTTTACGATTTTGAATTTTTCTTATTTGGTTGAAAGAAAGAATTTTGATTATATCAGCTGAGTGAGTTCAGCCTATAAAAAGGATGTTAAGTTGTGGATAAAATATGCAAATAAAGAGAAATATATTGTACAAATTCTATATAAAAAAGTACAACTGTGTGTGATTCTTTTCCCTCTCATTTCTGTTTCTCTTTTGAAGATTATACTTAAGAGTTTCTACTAAACCCAAACAGATGGGATATATAGAATCTCATGGCTTTGGGTTTGAAAGGAATCAGGAAAACTCTTTGGCCTCATCATCTCAATGTCTCTGGAATCCAACAGCCCCCTCTGCCACATGACTAGGGTGGATGCAATCAGGACCACCTTCTCCCTCCCTCCTCATACCTTCCCCCTCCCTCCTCATACCTTCCAAGGGCTTGGATTCACTTCAGACTAACCCTCCTTTTCAGGGCTCCTGAGGTCTCTGCACACAAATGGTGTCCTGAGTGTATTTCCCAGCAAGATTTCTCAATCCGATCCCACTGTCCTTCACCCCTCCTGTGGCTCACAGGACACAGGCTGGGAGGGGGCATGAAGAGGAAGGCAGGGATCAGGTCCCAGGACCAGCTGCTGTCCTAGGAGTCATTTCCCTCTTGCTGGCCTCTGAACCCATCTTCTGACAACCGAGGGCTGATTGTTTGCAGCCCTTGGGTCTCACGCTTCTTCCTCATATCTTTGTTTTGCCACATACTGCACTGCCTATTTCTCAGACATTCCTCAGGGCCAAGAGCTGTCTTGCAAGTTAGAGGAGAGTGCCTTTTTGATGGGAGATGGACTTAGCTAGCTATTGAGGCCCATTTGTTCTATCCCTACAAGCTTGACACATAACCCTAAAGCCCCAAACTCTTCTGGGGAGTCCCTACCATTACTGAGGCAGGGCAGAGGCCTGGTTTGGGGTGACATTCAGGAGAACGGGGTGCTCCCAAGTCCCAGATTCTCCCTCTAGGGCTGATATTTGTGCCCTCCCCTCCTCATCTTGTCACCTGGGCATGATGGGGCTTTACCCAGAAAAGCAGGTCTCTGTGTCTCTGAGCCCTGGCCACTGGTGAGACAGACTGCTTTGCTGAGCTGGAAAGCATAGAAGAGTTGAGAAGTTCACTGCTAAGACCAGCACACGATCTACAGAGACTCAGAAACACAAGACAATTTGAACTCAAGCCTTTTAGCATGGAAGAGAAATAGGATTCAGCCAGTCAAGCCTCCTTATTTGATAAAGAACAAGATACTGTGATAGCGTGGAATGGGAGCAAGAAAGCACAGAGCTGAGCACACTTGCTGTAGCCTTGCTGTAGCCATAGCCTTGTGCTCATCCACTCACCACGTCCACCCAGAACCAGCACTGTGCCAGGGGTCAAGGCTTCCTGCAAATCATCCAGCTGAAAACCCAGCCTCTCAGACTGAGGCCAACTTTCAACATGGCTCTTCTAACTACTATTTGCTACCTACTCCCTTCCTTCCCTGCTCGCAGAATCCATTTTTTTGGCAGGTAGTGATTGAAGATTCTTGAATCTCAGGGAAGGTGGGACTTTGTACCAGTTCGAGAAGAAAGTCCTAGTAATCTCACCTCTGTTTGCAGAACACTTCCTTTCCCAGCTCCCCTTGGAGTGACTATGTGACCCAATTCCCTCTGAAGAGAAACTAATGCCTGCTGGAAGACTCTGCTCCTATCTACTCCCTTTGACTGAGGTGAGAGAGTGTGCTGCTTGGCACTCTGGGCAGTCTCACAGCCATCAGGTGAAAGAGGGAAGTGGAAAAGCCAATACGCTGAGACTATGGGAGCAGGAAAACGGAGTCTGTCTCCTTACCTGCATTGTTTGAGCATGTGAACAGAATGTTTGTGGTTGGCTTTCTCTTGCAGATGAAAGCATTTCGGACCCAAATTTATGCAACAGTTTGGCTCCAGTAGGTTGAAATAAGATCACAGCTTTTTTTTTTTTTTCTTGTCACTTTACTGTGGACAGTATATGGACAGGAAACATGTAAGAAATTCCTGAAATATAAAGGCCTATGACCCTATCCAGTCAAGCTGGATAGTATCAAGTTGTAACCATTATCAGATTATTTCTGGGAACTCTTGCATATGCAGCTTTTCTCAGGTTCAGGGAGGATCCAGCCTTTAAAACTCATTCAATTGCAAGTTAAACTTCAAACTAACTTAATTTAAAAGGAGAATGTATTGACTTACAAAATGAAAGTTTCATCTGGCTCGAGGCAAAGCTAAATTGTAGGGACTCAATGATATGAGTTCAGTCTGTCTGTCCCCCCATCCTGCCCTCCCCTCCCCTCCCAACCCCCTGTTCCACTTTCCTTCTGGGCTTTCACTAAGGTTCAAGGTGAACATGAGTGTGCTACCTGGTTCTCTGCACCTGGCCCCACCTGCTGCTGACTGCAGGGCAGAAAGCTTCCCATAACCACTTAGTGAGACTCCCTCAGTTGTTAGCTAATGGCTTCTAGCCATGATTTAGGCTCATGTTTAAAAGCTACTTGGGAGACTCATGAATTTGCATGTTGTCACTTCAACTGCTGAGCAACAAGGCATCCATGACAACTAGGCAGACACTGCACCTGGGAAATCCCCACACAGCCACTGTGAATCATTGTTAACATATCTTCCTTGGTCACTCAGCTACTCTGACAGGCAAGGTGCCCCATAATGTGGCAGAGAGCAGATACATTAGTACAGAAATTCACAATGGGAGTGAAGAGAGACATCTAAAATCACTGATTATTTTCCCTTATTAAAAAAAAAATGTTTTAATCAACACAATTGTATTTACTGGGTACTGTGTGATATTTCTATACATGTTTAAAATGTTTAATGATCACATCAGGGTAATTGGCATGTCATCACCTCAAACATTTATAATTTATTTGTATTGAGAACATTCAAAATCCTCTCTAGGATTTGTAGCTCCATTGTAGAGCACATGCTTAGCGTGCACAAGATCCTGGGTTCAATTCTCAGCACCAAAAACAAAAATTCTTTCAACTAGCTATTTTGAAATGTTCATCTAATTATCAACCACTAATATTCTGTACTATAGAACATTAGTAGCTATTCCTCTTACCCAAGTATACCCGATACCTGTTAATATTCTCTCTCCATTCCCCACTTTCTCAGACTCTGTTAAGCACTATTCTGTTTCCTACTCCTGTGAGATCCATGTTTTAGCTTCCACCTATAAATGAGATTTTTTTTAAAAGTAGGTTTAATGGAAAAGAACAAGCACAAGTACATCAAGCTTATGCAAACAAAATCAGAGTCATTTAGTATCAGGCAAAAGTCATTTCATATATCAATATTTTTTTGCAGAAAAAGGGTATCATTTGCAATAAAAATATAATACGTGGTGGACACAGTGGCACATGTCTGAATCCTAGCTATCCAGGAGGCTGAAACAGGAGGATAGCAAGTTTGAGGCCATCCTGGGCAACTCAGTGAGACCCTGTCTCAAGATTAAAAAGGGCTGCAGATGTAGCTCAGTGGTAGAGCACCCTTGGGTTTAATCCCTAGGACTGAAAAGGAAGTAAGGAAAGAAAAAAAGTAAGGGGATGAGAAAAGATATATCTTGGAATTGGCTATCCATCACACGAAAGCAGGAATAACTATATTCAATCGGACAAAATAGACTTTAGAACCAAAAAAAAATTATTCTAGAGATAAAAGAGGTACATATTATAATGAAAAAGGGTCAATACATCAGGAAGATAAAATAATTATAATATATATGCACCTAGTAATAGTACTAAAAGAGCCACTCACTCTCATGGCAGGGTTCAGTTCCTCACAGGCTGCCCAACTGAGGGCCTCAGATCCTTGCTAGGTGTCACAGGCTTCTCCATAAATTGGTTCACAACATGGTAGCTTACTTCCCCCAGTATGAAGGAGCCAAGAACAAGAGCATCCAAACCAGAAAACAGTCTTTTTATAACCCAATTTCAGAAGGGACACCTTATCACCTCTGCTTTTTTTTTTTATTTTATTGGTTATAAGGCATCAATAAGTCCCACCCACAACCCTCAAAGGTTGAGAATTTCATAAGGGAGGTAGGAATGATGGAGGTCATCTTTGAGGCTTCCCTCCACAGTGCCAGTTACTCTCTTTCCTCACAGTGTTGATCACAGTGTGCACATACACTGACTTACAGATTTATTTGTTATATCTCCCTATCAAACTATAAGCTCCATGGTGGTCGAGACAGTATCAATTTTGTTTATCACAGTGTACCCAAATTAGAGCACAGGGTCTGGCATGATAAGCACTCACCAAATATTAGTTGAATCAGTGGATTTATAAATATTTACTTTGAACACAGAAAATCCCTGGTAGCTTAGGTAAGAAAGTGAAGAGTGGTTTTATTTATTTATTTTGCAGACCCGAGGATTGAACCCAGTACCTGTGCATGCTAAGCAGGCACTCTATCACTGAGTGATACCTGAAGTAGTTATTTCTTTATATATATTTACTTTTTAGTTGTAACTGGACACAATATCTTTATTTTATTTATTATTTTATGTGTGCTGAGGATCGAACCCAGGGCCTTGCATGTGCTAGGCGAGTGCTCTACCGCTGAGCCACAATTCCAGCCCCTGTAGTGGTTATTTCTGAGGCATGGGTATAGGGTTGGAGAGGAGAAAGCCTTTTCTATTCCCCTCTTATCCCTTTGTTCCATCTGAATCTATTACAATGGACCAAGTGTTATTTTTGCAATCAAAACTTTGTTTATGGCACAGGGGATTTAATCCAGGGGCGCTCTACCACTGAGCTGCATCCCTAGTAGTCACATTTTTTCTTTTTCTTTCTTTCTTTTTTTAAATTTTGAGATAGGGTGTGAAGTTGCCAAGGCTGGACTTGAACTTTTGATCCTCCTGCCTCAGCCTCCAAAGTCACTGGGATTACAGGCATGTGCCACCAAGCCTGGTTTACAATCAAAACATTAAAACAACTGGACCTTAAAATCATAAATAAAAGACAAATGAAAAATTGCAAAAAATACAACATATACAAAAGGTTTTTTTCCATAATCTTTAAGGAGGCCTTACAAATCTCAAAAGAGAGCTAGGGTTGTAGAATGCTCACCTAGCATGTGTG